TTTAAAGCAGCAAAAGCTTAGTGGAATATGCTTAGTGAAGTATGAAACACAGTGCCATTTGTCTATGTGACTGATTCACTGGGTTTTGTATGTCGTTGATTTGGCACTGCCAACACAAAATTTTTCTCTGTTTTCAGTGGCAAATAATAAGGGAAAAGAATAAGTGGTTATTCTCCTCTTCCCTTTTATTATGCAAGTACCAACTGTTTTGTCCACTCAAATAGTACAACTTACTCATTGAGTCAAACTCAGAGTAGTTTTCTTTAACCTGTATTTAGTTTTGGGAGTGACTGCTTTTATTCCATATCTCAAGAAGATTCACATTCCTAAAAGCTGATCTTCTTCTTTAGTTGATTTAATAAAAAATATTAAAACAAATAAATGCTATCTCCACCATTCTGATAACGTCATATTTTAAGAAATAAAAACATTTTGAAATATTGTTGAGTTCTTCTGAATATATATATATATTATATATATATATAGGTAAAGTCAAGTATATATCAATGCTTCCTGCACTGCTCTTCATTTCTGCCAATTTTGCCTTCTAGTGTTTCATTTGATTTTATTATGCCCCAGTTTCTTTTTTCTAGTTTACTCTTCAAGACAAACAGGAGAAGCAAAGAATCCCCCACAGGACATGCCAGGTTTTGCTGGAAGAACATTATCATGCTCTAAATACAGTGATTACTCTTGGAACGATCAGAGAGAGAGGGAGAGATAAGATTAAGAGTGGCAATGGAGTACTAAAGTGACCCCAGATTTACAGTTATCCCTTGGCATAGGGAGTTGTTATGAGAATTTTGTTTGTGAAAGACATTTTGTAATTAAAATTCTGAAAGCAGTGAGGATCTTTGCTTTTTAATAAGGTCTGTTTTCACATCAAATGGAAATTTTACTAAAGAAAGATAAATGACATGAAAGCTTCTTTTTCCAAATATTCCTCATAAATATTAAGACTGGTTAAAAGCAGAAAGTCTTTCAAGTGTATTTGTTGAACCTTCCTAAAATTCAGCTCAGTGGCAGTATTTATAGTGCTTAAAAATAAATGCAGATACTACAGACCATCTCTGAAAATACACATAGTAATTATAGGGTAGGAGGAGAGCATTTTAAGCAACGTTATTGTTTGATCATTCATATGTTATTACATACAGTTGTCAATGGTGTTACAAAGAACTAAGATTAGAAAACATTTAATTCACTGAAAATGTTTGGCTTTGAAGGATGCTGTAATGTTTCTGTAGTACATGAATAGGTATTAACCAACATGGTTTAGAAAGCTTAAAGAAATAGAACTCTGCAGTGTTTTGGAGTTCTGCTGTGTGTTTTTTCACCTCTCACTGGTCTATTATATTTTAGTATTTATAGATTAATAGGTATTTTAATAGATACATGTTCACAGAATCACAGAATGGCCAGGGTTGGAAGGGACCTCAAGGATCATGAATCTCCAACTCCCTGCCACGTGCAGGGCCACCAACCTCCCCATTTAATGCTAGACCAGGCTGCCCAGAGCCCCATCCAACCTGGCCTTGAACACCTCCAGGGATGGAGCATCCACAGCCTCTCTGGGCAGCCTGTGCCCACATCTCACCACTCTCATAATAAAGAAGATGTTTTCAGACTTTTGGTGCTGCCATGTCAAGGCTACAGGTACTGCATGTGAAAACTTCGATGTAAATTCAAAATTTTTAGAATTAAAAAAAATCAGAGTGAATTAAACTTGTAATTGGCAATATGAACACGATCAAATAATTAAAGAATTACAGTAAAACCTTCAGACAAAGATTCTTGCTTGATATTCTTCAGTGATAACTTTTTTTTTTAAACTGCAAATGCTTTCAGATTTTAAAAATCTCTGCGCTTCATTTATGGAACACTAGCTTAAGTTTTTTCTATTGCTGCCTTCTTTCTTCTTTGGCTTCTATTTCAATGAAGCTGTGACTCTCCATGAAGGATACAGAGAAGCTTATTCTGTTTTCTGTGTAAGCAAAAAGCAGAGGTCTCTTCTTGCAAGTAGCTTACAAAATATGGCTTGAATGTGAGATAAAAGCATATATTGGTACTTAGCTAGAACTTCTTCAAACAAGTTGTCTGTCAGGTGCTTTCTGAGTCGGACTTCTTGTCATTCAAAACAGATCTGCGTGATTAAAACCGAATTCCTGTTATTTCAAGTCTTTTCCAGAGAAGAATAGAGTTTGGTTTTCAAATTTCAGTCTGTTGAGCAGAATTTGAGGGCAGATGCATCAATCGTACTCCTTATCTTTCCTAGAAATTAAAAACTTTCTGTTATGTACAAGGGCTGCTCTGAAAGTAATGCCTCCTATTTTATTGTTTTGGCCCACTGTATGAGACATGAATGTTGGTAATATGGTAATAAAAGTTGAACTTCCCACCAATATTCCATTACATTTTATTGTCATGCAAAAGATGGCAGCAGAGGGGTGGTCTAGCAGAATGGTTCTCTTATGAAAATGCATCTGAAGCAAATGTGTGTCCTTGAATTCCTCCACATGGAAAAAATGGCACCTTTTGATATTCACTGACGCTTGCTGAACGCTTATGGAGACCAAACAGTGTATGTGAGCACAGTGAGACAGTAGGTGGTGTGTTTTGGTAGTGGACAGCAACTTGAAAGACAAGCCAGATTCCCCAGGGTTCATGCAGCTTTTTAATTTGCTCTGTCAATCAAGTGGTGCTGTTGTGCTCTTTGAATCTGTTGTAATTTCCATGGAAATAAATGGGAGGCATTACTTTGGGAGCAACCTATGACTTACAAATACAAATATGTATGTATTAAATAATATCAAATACAAATATGTATTTGACCTACAAGTACAAATATGACTTCGCAAGTCACGCCCACCCAGTAAAGATAACAAAGGCAGTTTGGAGCCACCAAGCATGAGGGAACAGCCAATAGTTTGCTGTGTAGGACTTGTCAGTTATCCAGGTCCAGATATCACTCATATCCTCAGGAGTGTCATGGAAGTAACAGCAGAGCACTGTATATTTAGCTCCATTTAGAGCTGAAGATAAACTAGCAGCGGACTTCTCAGACTTTTTAATGTTGATTTTAAAATGAATTGAAACACTTTTCTAGCATAGGCTAATAATAAAGGAAGACAAATGAAACTGGAAATAGTTTTTGTTTTTCTACCTTTGTTAGTGCTGCATCTTTCATTTATTCATCCAGTTTGAAGTGCTTCCAAATAAATACTGCCAGGATCTGTCTCTTTGTTAAATGCAACTTTAAAACTGAGTTTTGGAGGCTGTATAATCTAGTTCTTATCTGAAGCTTTTAATGCATGCACAGATTTGTTTAGATAGCTCATGAAAATAACAGCAAATCCAGAAAGGGCTGTTTGATTTCAGTATTACCTCTTCCTGTAAATGCACTTCTGAACTCGTAGATTGAAGCTTTTTTAATTGGAGAGAGCTCTTGAACTTTGAGTTCTTTCTCCAGTGTTTTAATTCCACGAACGCAGTAGGAATGAGGCATGAAGAGATCATTATGAATTGCACAAACCTATTAAATAAGTATTTGTGTAAGTTCAGCAAATTACTGAATCATTCGCAACTTTTCTGGCATGCCCCATATTGGGCAAATAAACTTTTTTTTCCTTTTTTTTTTCTTCTTTTTTTCCCTACTGCTGGGGAATGGTATATTCTTGTTAGTTACACCTGATAGCTGACATTGCTGGCTCCTTGAGCAGGATGAGTAAACTTCTGGCTTGTCTTTTAGTCAAGCTTGTAGTATAATCTCTTTCCATCTGTTTTTCTGTATGTGTATGCATAGAAAACTGTACACATACAATCAGAGAAGCTTCTAAACATTAATATACTTGACATGCACATGCACCACGATGTACTTGGCTAACAAAATGTATGAATTTGCAAGTTTACCTAGCAGCATCTTCATCTGAAACTGTGAGAGGGAAAGACGGCCTTTGACAACCAAACAAGTGTTATGCATATGCAATATGAATTGATCCAGTTACTCCCATCTTCAATGAACAGTAAGATTTGGGTTGCACCATAATCCCCGTTCAATTCTGTCTTTTGTTTCACAGCCTTCTAAGAAAGCTTTTTGATGTAGGGGTTGTAGCTGCTTTAGTTTATGCATTCCATTCTTCAGAGTCATCAGAGCAAAAGAAGATTTGAGCGGGGTGATTCTTCAGAGAGAGAAAGAATAGCAGAAACTATAAACGTGATGGGTTCTGGGGTTCAGCCTTCAAAGAACAAGTAAGACTGCTTAACCGAGTCCAGACTTGAGGGCTAAAGAAGCTGTATTTCTAAAATCCTGGAGAGATTAACTCTTAAATAACAATACGTAGCACTTAAAGAAGCGTAGCATCATCTGGTCTCTTGGTTAATTACTTAATTTACCTAATTTCTAACTTTTTCTGAAAGGTAGAAATCCTTATTGTTGGTCAGTAAGATAAAGTAGAAGTTCTGTATTGTAATAAAAGATCAGCAATATCACACGCTTAATTTGGTGCCTGAATTAAAAGTCAGTGTGCAATAGGAAATTCGTTTACCTTGGAGCATGCTTGAAGCATAGAATATTGAAAGATTTTATTAGGATTTCTCTAAAAAGCTTTAAGGGCAATTTGATGGCATTCAGAGGACTAGAGAAAACTAATTAAAGCATTACTTAGATTTTTGCAAATTCTGTCTGGTCTGAAACATGCTAGAAACAACTGGATGCTCTACTTGTCTAATTCTGTTAATTACATCAGGCTGACATAGTAGTGCTAATGATACATTGGATAGCATAGCAGTAGATGATGCTTAATGTTTCTGACCTCGCTAAGGTAATGAGGAGTGGCACAGTTCTCACGCACAAGAATATTGTGGCAATATTTACAACTGTTTTGCTTTGGCAGGCTGCCTTTTTTTTTCTTGCTGCTTTTTTTTTTTTTTTTTTTTCCCCCAGGTATGGATGAATCATTTTTAGTGACTAACACACATGCACAAAAAAAAGAAGTTAAATAGACAGCTAACACTAACGCTATGCGGAACTGTTAATTAGAAATGAAAAAGTGCTAATAAAAATAGATATATACTTTGGGAAATATTTGGTAGTGTAATTATAAGACTTATCTAGCAGCACTGCCTATAATATAACTATCTAGACATAGCAGGTAATGAGTTGCTGGAGCAATGTATGTATGAGCAGTTACATTTTCAGTGCTGAACATCCAACGTCTGAGAACAGAGGATGAGTTCATTAATGAAAAGATGGAGCCGGTTTTAAAAGGGTTACTTTAACCAATGAGTATCATTCTTGGACTATGATTGTCCTTTATAGCCATTTGAAATGTGAAACTCATCTGTTGGCTACTGGGAATGAAGTATCTTGCAATCTCATTTTCACATGGTTTTCTGTTCTGCCTTAGACAATATTGTTGTCTTCTACCTGACTTTGTTTGTAGGCTTTGTTCCTTCCCTTTTCTGCTAGCCTTGTCTTCTTGTCAGAAGGCTCAAGCAACAGCATGGTAATATAGTGATGTTCTTGCTTCAGGCTTCTGATTATCATCTATGAAACTCAGCAGTATTGTTAATTGCTTTCTATTGTTTGTGTTAACTATCGTTTGTGAGACAGACCCGGAGTTGTATGTCAGCAGATTTAAGTAGTATGGCATAAGAAATAAGAAAGCATGTATGAGTTTAACAACGTAACAATTAGTAGTATGCGTTGGGGTGGCTCAGGCTATGCAGATGCTGGTACTTTGGATATGCTGATCTTGCTATGGAAGAGCTGCACACAGTCCCTGCCAATTATCTACCAAGTAGCTGGAATGAATTTTTAAAATCAACTCTTCCCATTGTTTAAGCTTCTTTGTTGTCTTTCCCATATGATTGGGTGTGGGTGGTTGTTTTTTTTTTTTTTTTCGTTTGATTTTGTTTGGCTTTTTTTTGTGTGTGAGACAATACTGCCCAAGCCCTCCTGCTAGAACCTTATTACACTTACGTAGACACGGACTTAAGGGCATTACTAAAAACAACCATTCTTGGGTGACTGTCCGCTTTTTTTTATTTCAGATGAAGAATAATTTCTTAGAGGTGAAATAGGATTATTATTATTATTTTTTTTTAATGCGAGTTGTTCGGGTAATGCAAGGAATTTGGTTTATGCAAAATAATCCTGTGGTGAAATTGCATGGTCTAATATTTTGAGAAGCAAGCATTAACCTACCATTGCTAGGAAATGGTAATTAGAACCATCTGGATTCTTGAAGTCCTTGGCAGTCATGTTTTGAAAGCAATTAATCTAAGCTGAAGATAATGCAAGTTCCATTTCTAAAATGTTCCTAATCTTTTGGTTAATAGTGTTTGCCATAATCTGTTTACAAGTACTTTCAAAATGGTGTTTCATCATCCTAACTGGTGCTGTCTAAACATTATTCTATATAAAGAATTCTGCGTCTTAAACATTTCATCAACATTTTATTTCCTGCTGAGAATTTATGTACTTCCGATTCGTGAGGCCATCAGGCTTTCTTGTAGCACTGCTGCTTTGTGATTATACACTTCTTTTGTGATTGTTTTTCACGTGGAGTTTAGAGAGCAAAGAGGGCTCAGTGATATCAGAAGGCAAGTCACCTACAGAACTTTTTAAAACAAAAAGTCAGTGTCAGTACCTGAAATGATTTCATTATATTGGGCTTGAATATGATACTTTTCAAAAACTACATGTTTCCCATTCTTCTAAATAATGAACTGAATGATTTAATGCATAATTTGTGCTCTTGTCCTACCTTTATCACTGTCCTATTGTCTCATAAACTGCTGTACCTTCTTACAATGTTTTCAGTAGTGTCAAAAAACAGTAGAATTTTGCAACATTCTTTACCTTATCATTTGATTTATCTTCGTTTTCGTACTTTTTGCATTGAATGACAGCTTCTAGCCGGGATGATAGCAGAGCCTGCTTTTCTCTCTGAGTATACTATCTTTGCTTTGGATCCCACCAAGCAACCTAAGCCACAGAGTGACGGTGTGGTGAGTCCTCCCACCCCTCTTAGTGATGCCTTTAGAGAGGCAGGAGAGTCCTGTACTAGAAGGCAAACCTAGTGTTGCTTGTGGCTTGTTCTCACAATGGCATCTTAACTACCTTGTTGCTAACCCTGCACTAAATTTCACTGAGTTAGTACCTGATAGCTCCTGGCTGGTGTGATGTATGATGTGAATTTATTGTAACACCAAAATTAACACATTTTCTGTTACGTGGGTGACAATACTTTACTCAGCTTTTAAGTAATTGTTGCACAAATTTGTACACTTGTTGCTTAGAATCTGATAATGCTATTGAAAGTCTTCCTCTTCATTTTATGTATGTTTGTATTTCAAGATAAATAAATACAATAAACACTGCTATTGCATGTAATTTTTGGACACAGAAACATTTTGCTGCCTACAGTGGAAGGCTCAATGTAATTTACTATTGGTGGCAGTAGGAAATTGTTATACATAGACAGAGAAATTCAGCCACTTCTAATTGGTGACCTGAATGGTATTATTGAGAGGCTAAATGGTCTTTTTTTCTAAATTGTTAGATTTCATTTTAAATATATAGTTGCTTGCCTGGAAATGTTTTTTGCATAATATACAAATTATGCAGATGGAGAAGCTTGGTTGGAAGAGAACAAGACAACTGGAGAGAAAATAGCAGACACAAGAAGGAAAGCAGCCTTCTGTCTTCTGAAATATACAGATACAAAGCTATGTGATTCTGATTGTTGGAAACTGGGATGTCTTCCTTCATATGCTTCAGAACCATGGCATTCCTGAGTGCACAGTGATTCAAAACAGTGCTAAAATCATAGTCACAGATAATCCTCAATTCATGATTCCTTATTTTCCTTTTCTGATTTAGCAAGTCCTTTCTTGCTGCTCACGCAGAGGCTGAAAATGCAGAGATGCTGAAGGCTATAACAGGGCTTACACTCTGTGGTGATGGGATTGTCTCAAGCTAAAAATGATAAGACTGAAACTGCTAGAAAAGGTGATTTGTGCAGTCTTTGTATGTGCCAAAGTGTTTTTTGCTTGTTATCTCAGAGCACAGCTTCATTACTAGCTCAGACACGGTGCTCTCCAGAATGAGCTTTTTGATGAGGGGCAAAGTTGACATTCAGACTACTGAAATCTGAAGCTTTGGAATAGTTTTTAGATTTTGTATGCATTTTTTTCCTTTTTAGTTTCTAGGTATTTTGACCACATTCAAGGTCCAGTAATAGTTACTTTAAATTCTGCAGAGAAAATTAAGTATAAACAATCACGGACTGTTTTTCAGTATACTGTGGAATATCCCTTTTACAGCTGGATTTTGGAAAGAATACAGTCATGTGAGTGCTCTAGAGTTGCCTTTGTGTTCTCTGTATATACTTCAGTGACAGCAGTCTCCATCTTATATGTCTACATACAAAGCTGCATACGCTGCAAGTAATTATAAAGTGGGAGTTATAGGTAATGTGTTACCAATGAGTATTTAATAATCTTACCTGTAAAACTGATTTTATTTTCTGAACCTTTCGAAAAGAAGTGCTCTCAGTGTAAGAATTTGGGAGGGGGCAGTGAAGAACAGAAAATAGTGATGAAAAGTCTTCAAGGAAGAGGAATGCTGGTTATTACAAATACAAGAGAACCAAAAATGAACATTTGGGAAACCTGGATGAACTAAAGATACAGGAGAATGAGCGTTTCATCAGCACACACAGACAGATAAATCAATTTTGCTAAAACAGGCTGGTATCTTAGCTGTGTGTGTGCAGGTGATGTGTGATCCAAGAGAATGGGCATCAGGGCAAAGCGGCTGGAACTGTGGTGGTTTTTTTGCTCTGCATAGAGGAAGCTAGTGTAAGCTCTTTACTAATTGAGCTTTGGGCATTTCCTTACATGAAGAAACACAGTGCAGGTATTCTGCACACAGGGTTTTTTTGGAGGGGAAAAATTGTGGGGAAAATTATTTATACAAAACCCTTCTTCCTTCCTCCATAATTTACTCAAAATTTTGTGGCGCTTGAGGAAGAGAATAAGAACAGTATTGTATTTTTAAATACAGACACTTTAAACTTTTAGACACATGAAAATATTTATACTCTTAGGAAATAAGTAGTAAGATAAATTAGTTTGCATTTCAAGAGTAGGAATGTAGGGAAGTACAGATATCAGTAGAATTCCATGAGGGTTCCAGTTAAAATTGAGCTCTGGTTTATACCTCTTAATGACAGAAAGCAAACATTTTATTAATAATTGTAGACATAGCTGTCTTTGGATACAGATACAGTTGTTGTGTCATGTTCTGGGGAATAATGGGAGACTTCTGTTGGTCATAAAGCCTGTCATTTGTTTACAGGTTTTAAGACTCAAAATGCCCACACTCTTTGCTTCCAGTTTCACCAAACCAACTCTTGAGGCTTATGAAAGGCTTCTAAGCTCTTCAAAGCCTCTTGAATCTATATTTATATATAGCAACCTTTATTCATGCTTACCTTTCACTTTATGGGCACTACAGAATGACCCTTTGCCCTAGAGCACAGACTAGGGCAGTTAGAACTGCAGCAGCTAGGTATGTGTGAGGGTCCAGGTTCTATATGAAAGATAACCAGTGCATCCTTGTGATTTATTCTGATAGCAAATACAGTCCTAAATATAGGCTCTGCTTCTGTTTACGTAGGCTGAAAGCAAAGCTACCAGCACAATGAAGAGGAAAACTTTAAAAGAGGTGGCATTAGTTTCAGTTTTGAGATGGCATTTTTTAAAGGATCTTAACAGTTAAAAAGGATACTTTTTGATATGTATTTATAAATTTAATATAATAAATCTAATTACTCTTGTGTTTTAAAATGAGTTAAATGTTATTAAAGTATCAATGTGAAGTAGACGTACAAACCCTACACAGTTTCCTTTAATTCTTTTGTTGATAATCAGAATACATGGTTTTTGAAGATGTAGTTAGTGTGAATTCTTGCTAAAGTATGTCTTTTCTCTCCTGTTTGTTGAGTACTAGACCTGGACTATCACCACTGAAATAAAGCAGATGCTTTATTATAAAATTATAAAAGATGCTTTATTTTATTTGGATTATCCTTACTGTTAGCTTTCCAGTTAGGAAATGAGAGAACAGGTAATGCAGCCCAGAATAAAATCTGGGAATGCTTTAGTTGATAAACCAGTAAGAGCTCTTAATCCACTAAAACTAAATCCACTATGACAATGTGATGCTATTAAATGGAACGCAGATTTTGCTCAAGCCAGACGAAATGCAGTTTCCAAGTCCAGACAGACTTGTTATGTGGCTCATTATTGCTCATTTCACCTAGTCTGAGTCTGTATGGGTGACTGCTAATTTCTCGGGCTTCCTTAGCTGTCTGGATTTCTATCTTCTGTGATATTTCAGTACTTTATTGAGTTTGGTCCATGTCAAACCATACTGAAGCCATTTTTTTTTTTCCCAGTGCATTCCTCTTTTATGCTTATGCTTCCATGCATATCTGCACATCTTAATTGGGAAGTTACATTGCTCATAACCCTATTCCTTATATTTTGTTCAGTATTTTTCAGTGCTTCTCTTGGAAAAAAATAATATCCAAGAGAGTTTCTAGCTTGTTCTACTACATCACTTTGACCTGACTTAAGCACTAGAAAACTCTGAATTTGTACAGGTTAGGGAGCACCCGAGCACAGGGCATAGGAACAGCAGAACAGACAAAGGACAGAAAGGTCTGAAATCCGTAATGAACATAAAACTATTGGTTTTTGTGGAATTTTTTCCCCTCCTTATTTAGGAGTGCAGAAAAATGTATGTGTCCAGTCTTACACAGGATGTGTTCTCTGAAAGTCTAATATTGGGCTTTCTTGGAGTCTAAAACAGAGTATTAATGGTGTATTTGTCCAGGTAGCAGGTTTTTGTGTTTTTTTCCCCACTTTCTATGCCTCCTTAAGTATAGGAGGATAATGTTATTTCAGTGTTCCTCACATCAGCTGTAAACACCATTGGCCTTCAGTTCATTTTTTTTTTTCCTGTTGTTATTTTGTCTTTTTCTGATGTTCCTTTGATCTGTGCATAAATGTTACATAAATAATCATTATGAATAATTTAATTGGAAATGTTGGTGTTTGCGGATGTCTCATACTAATCTATGCACACATAGCTGCTTTGTAGTTCTCTATATTGCAGCAATATGTTTGGAGTTTAACAAACTAGCTTGTTTGCATGAACATATCGGAATAAACGTTTTAAAGAAAGTACTAGAAACACAGTCAAGAAAAAAGCATGGGTGTTACTTGTAGGAATGATGAAATCTAGTCGTTAGTCTATTCCTTCTAACAGTTGTTTTTCCTCCTGCAGAATTTACTTAAGCAAACAGTTCCCAGATCAACTGAAAACAATGGAAGTGAGCCAGCATCCCCTCAGGTACTTATGGAGCTTTTGTTTTGTCTTTCACTGCCATGTTTCATTTGTATTAATTTAGCCAAAGTGCCCAGTGTGCATCTTCATGCTGGAGAAGGGATGAGAAGTACTTTGGCATGTTACTAAGATGGTATTAAGATAGAGTTACTTTCTAGCTGAAGGAAAAGAATTGATAGGCTTAAAAAAAGTCGTCACTAGTAATAAGGTGGAGGTCACTCTTTAATACATCTCAGAAATAGGTCTGGGTTGCTGGAGTGAGATTAGCAGCAATTCCTACTGTGTGTATTCCAGCCTTTGTGTGGGCTATATCATTTGGTAGTGCTGTAAAGTCACTGCTGTAGCACCAGCAGTGCATATCTCCATAGCATGGGCTCTGCTTTTTTAAAACCTCACAAGGATTTGTGTTGTATAAATCAGTAATTGCATTTTGTGTAAAAATCTTAAAACCATTTAAAATAAAAAAGAATCTTCAAGATCCCGTTAGAACTGTTGTACAAGGACTTTTACAATGAATTTATTTTCTCAGTCGTAGGAAAAGGTCTTGGTATCTTTGAGATAAATGCAAACTTCTGTTTAATACATCAAGAAGTGAGTTGTGTTTATATATTTTAATTTGAGACAAAAGGTAAATGCAGCTATTTGTTTTAGTTACGTATTCACTTTCTAATGGATTTGCACAGAAATACATGCTTCCAGGAGAGTAAATCAGAGCTGCATGTACTGAATTTAGTTGTTCTCTGAAACTGCCCACACCTGGTAGTTTGCATGGCTGTTTTTTCCACACAGAGAGGTGACTGCTAAGGGAATGGTAGCTTTTTGGTGTCATCTCTAAGGTGCTCTGTTGGGTGATAGTGGTTCCCTGAACCTCAGGTCTCTGTTTCCTCAGCCTTAGTGTTTTTGACTGCCTAAAAGCAGTGCAGAAGTAACTTCTTGCTTTGGGTTTTTGCAGCCAAGTGATGCTCAGTCATTCACCCAGCGTCTTCAGCTCCGAGTTCCCTCCATGGAGTCATTGTTTCGAAGCCCAGTGAAAGAGTCCCTGTTCCGCTCTTCTTCTAAAGAGTCCCTGGTACGAACATCCTCCAGAGATTCGCTGAATCGGCTGGATGTGGATGCAGCTGGTCCCACCTTTGACCCACCTTCTGACATTGAAAGCGAGACCGAGGAGGTTTCAGGGAATGCAGACAGCCTCAGCAAGGAGCAGCTGCTGCAGCGACTGCGCCGAATGGAGCGCAGCTTGGGCAACTACAGAGGGAAATACGCTGAGGTAAGCAGTGGCACTGTAGGGAGAGGAAGGAAAAAACTAAGACTGGCATACCACAGTAGTGGGTCATCATTTTTTCTCTGCAGTTTTCCTCAGCTTGGAACAAATGGATCCTCTTATAGATAGCATGGACTTTTAATGATGATACTAAGTCTGGTTATGTTTGGCCTAAATGAGCCAAAGGTTTTGCTGGTAGTACAATGTGGAAATACTTCTCACAGAATCACAGAAGAGCTGAGGTAGGAAGGGACCTGAGTCCATCCTGCTCAAATAGGGCCACCCAAAGCATGTTCAGATGGCTTTTGGAGTTCTCGTAGGTTGAATCTCCACAGCCCCCCAGACATCTTGGGGTCTGTCAGTTGCAAAGCACAGAAGTGCTTCCTGGTATTCAGAGGTAACCTGGCAGGACAAGGGGAAAAGGTTTTAAGTTGAGGGAGGAAGATCTAGGTTGGATGTCAGGGGGAAGTTCTGTACAGAGAGAGTGGTGAGGTGCTGGAACAGCTGCCCAGAGAAGCTGTGGATGCCCCATCCCTAGAGGTGTTCAAGGCCAGGTTGGATGGGGCCCTGGGCAGCCTGGTCTAGTATTAAATGGGGAGGCTGGTGGCCCTGCATATGGCAGGGAGTTGGAGACTGATGATCCTTGAGGTCCCTTCCAACCCTGGCCATTCTGTGATTCTAGTGTTCCAGTTTGTTCCCATTACTTCTTGTCTGGGAACCACTGGAAAGAGCCTGGCTCTGTCCTTGCCCTCCCTTCAGGAATTTATGGACATTGACGAGAGACCCCTGTGCTTCAGGTTGAGCAATCTCAGCCTCTTCTTGTTAAAGAGGTGCTCTGATCCCTTCATTGTCTTGGTGGCAGCTTTCCCTTGGACCCTTTCTAGTATGTCTGGATCTCTCTTGTACTGGGAGGCCCCGAACTGGAACACTTACTACTTCAATTGTGGCCTCACCAATCCTGAGTAGAGTGCACAAATCACCTCCGTTGACCTGTTTGCAGTGCATTGCCTGATGCAGCCAAGACTACCATTAGCCTTTTAAGCAGCAGGGGCACGCTGCTGACTCGCATTCAATTTTGTAGCCACCAGGACCTATAGGTCCTTCTCTGCAGAGCTGCTTCCCAGCTGGACCCTTGGAGTTATTCCTTCCCAGGTGCAGGGCTTTGCATGTCCCCTTGTGGAATTCCATGAGATTCTTGTCAGCCAGCCTCTCCAGCCTCTTAAAGTTTCTCCTTTTTCATCTCTAGTTTGTAAATAATTACTTGCTGTTGGGAACAGAGTTGAGTGTCACTTTGTGTGAGTTTTTTCCTCAGATATATACCTAGATACAGGTCCAGGAGGTTTTCTGGTGAAAGTGTGTAGCTGGGCTGGTATTGAGTGTAGTGCTGAACATGGCTAACTTGACATACTTTGCTTCTGAAACTTGTTCTGAAGTATGCCTACACTGTGTGCTTCACTCTGTGCATTTAGCATAGGCAGGCACTTTGTTTTCAGTCATTAAGTTCTGTTCACCATAACTTTTTGGTATAGCACTTCTAAGTTTTTTGTTGTTCTTTTTTTTAAGTGCATGTCTTGTATTGAAAACTAAATGTATGCATCTTTTTTTTTTTTTTTTTTAACATTTATGTAAATATGTGCTACCCACAAGTACAGTGATTTCTGTGTGGATTTTTGGCTATCAGTGTCAAAATCCATGCAATCTAAGACATATACAGCAACTACTGTGTTTAAAATATATCTTAAAAAATAACTGTGTTTCATTAATTCATTCATTATCATCTCCCATTATTTTTTCATAGTCTTCCAGCTAGTATAATAAGGTTGTATTTTCTAAAGGTTTAGGTAAAAAAAAGTGTTGTTAAAATGACAGTTCTCCAATTTGTAGATTTTGTTTTGTGTTTTTAGTGCGGTCTGTCAGCAAGTCCTAGTTTTCGCTATCAAAAAGATATTTTGTGTGTGAGAGAGTTTCTCCAGTTCTTTGGATTCCATTTAAAGAGTTTGGAAGAAAAGCATTTGACATATAGTGAGGATTTTAAGATTTAAAATTCTTTCTCATTGGTAGTAGAACCCAGAGTTGGAATCTCAATAACGTAGTTTTTGTTTTCTTCTAAGTATGAAGTAACTATGACTCAAATTTAACAGTAGCTTTGAATTCTGAGAAGTTCTAATTTATTTTAAATTACGTTTTGAAGATGTTAATTGACTTACAGATTTCTAGTTTTGATGTTTTGCATTGGTTTTCCCATAATTTCTCAGTAGTTGGAAGAGTGCATTCTAGTTCCAAGTGCCATTATGCTACTTCAGCTTTGGACAGCTTAGGCAATTGTGATCAGATTTTTAATTAAACTAAATTGTGCAGTTACTCATGAAGTCCTTTTGTCAGCTTACAATGAAAAATTTTGTTCATTTCCAGTCTGTCTGCTTGTTTATGTGCAAAGCACATGGGATGAGAACATTCACTGTTACACAAAGCTTTTTCTCCTAGAGTTGAAAGTGTACTTTATAAGGTAAAATCATTTTAAAATTTAAACTGTGTGGGATATGTATGTTTAAAAATGTACATCCCCGTGGAGGCAATTCTCTGGGATATAACTTTGTGATGTAGTTTTTTGACCACCTGTACTTAAGCTTGGGAGTTCTTAGGATTATTTTCAGTGGAGTGCTGTGCATGAGTGCTGAGTAACCTATTTGTTTTGAGACATAGACTTTATTTAAGCTATTTTATAAATGGAAAAAAATGAACTTTGCACAAGACAATTGTTTTCATACATTTCTGTCAGGAGAGTTTTCCACGTGAAGTAAGGAGTTTGAAAATGCATATAGTGATACAACTAAGCAAATAATTTTGATATCTGTAAGTGGATGCATTCTCATTATTACTGATTTCTGTATTTTAGCTGGTGTCTGCTTATCAAGTTATCCAACGAGAGAAGAAGAAGCTACAGGTAAGCATTGCTGTTTTCTGAGTCTTGAAATATATGTGCAAGTGCACCAAAGTGTCCTTTGTTTATATTCATTTATGTTTATTTCTACATGTTTACATACGCTGGAGTGTTTTATTTATAAATAAAATAAACAGAAGACTCTCTTTTAGCTCGGTGCCCTTAGAAAAAATCTCACCTACTACTGGTTTGTGCAAATAACTGAAGCTGTTGTACTTTCTGCCTTTTTGAATGGATCAAGTGGATTCATGTGATGGATTGCCAACTCACATTTGGCAGCTTATTACAGTACTCACACATCAAATTTGACTTGAAAGAAAAATAAATATAAACACAAATTCTTCTGCTGATATACAGTTCTATGAATTTATTTATACTTTGCACCTGCAATTACATTTAATATGGTTTATTCCTTTTTAAGGGCATTCTGAGTCAAAGTCAGGATAAAGCACTTCGCAGAATTGGAGAACTGAGAGAGGTAAATTCCTTTATTGGTTGAATGTTTGCTTTCCTCCATACATGCAGAGGATCTTTCTCTGTGCCTGGTTTTTGATTTTAAATTCAATTTGGAAAATATTTCCTATTGCACAGCAGGGTTTTTAACTGCTTGCTTTTATTGCCTAACATGGGGCTATTTCTCTTGTTTATTTCCCATTCAGCAGATTATTGTCACAGTCTAAGGCAGAGCAGTTTGTAGCACCAACTGAATTGCTTTTCTGTTCATTGTGAAACTGGTAGAACTGCATGTGGTTATTGCAGTGTTGTTGGGGCTGCCATTAGATGTGGCTCTGCAACTTCTAGCTTTTTTAGTATTAAGAAATAATTATAGTAGGTAAATACAAATAACAGGCTCTGCATACAAGGGTTTTCATGGCTGTTGAGTTCACTGGTTTCTTTTTTTGTTATTGTTGTTTTGTTTTACCTTTTTTTTGGGGGGTATAAATAATTTTAAGAATACCCACAGCCTTACAAACAAATTGGCTGGTCAGTATTTCTTTCCAGTTTGCTACAAATGTAAGAAGTGTATTCCATGTCAAGTGTATAGCTGTATTCCCCAGTAGATTTAATTTTCCTGTGTATTGATGTTTTGTAAAGTTTGAGAGGCTTATATATATCAGAATTAAAGTGTTTTTATTAGGAAAAAGGTTGTGTGTTTGCATACTGAACTTCTAGCATGTTTTGACAAAGTTCTTTGATTAGAAATAGATGTAATTGTGTGTTTATGTTTAAAAAGAGATGTATATACAATGTAAAATTTATTTATCCTAAAAGTATTACAGATGTAATGATTCCTAAAAATCTAAGACTTAAATTCTTTATTAACTTAAAATCTTCCAAATCTATTCTTTGGTATTCTGAAAGCCCAAATATTAGAACATGTAGTGAAACAGTCTCAAAACTTAAAATAATAGTAATTAAAATATACAAATAAAATGGAAAGATTCCACTGTGAAAACTGAAATGTTACAGAATTCATCATTCATTGATGTAGCTACTTACTATCATTTAATTAAATGCATTTAATTAAAATACAAAACCAAAAGAGCTGTCCTTCATCATACAATCTATTTTTCCCATAAATGTTTTGGAATAGACAAGTTTCATCTGAGGAGGCCATGTAAGAGCAAATTAAGTTTTGCTTGTTATGAACTGATGGTGCAAAAAGTCTTTGGACGTAAATATTTATTCTGCTTTAGGTTTTGCATTAGGAATTTCCTATTAAAAATAATCCCTTGACAGTGCTTGGTGTCTCAGCTCTCAGACAAGGATCAGAAAGGGCTTTTGAATGCAGAGATCTATTGCAGTGCTGGTTTCAGAACATTTTGTTGGCTTCTTTGCTGAGGAAGGAATTGCCTCTACAGCTCTGAAGCACACGAGGAAGGTGTGATCAGTAACTGTTGAGAACTAGAGGCAGTATATGGTTCAGAAGTGGAGGTGATTTGTTGAAAGGAGAGGGGAACATCTTTATTTGAAGCTGCTTTGCTATATTGCCCTTTTGGTGGTGGCCAAGCTTGGTCAGTGCTCACCACTGCAGGTCTCATAGTTGGTGTTTACTGGTTGGGGAAGGGATAGATAGCAGGAGACCTTAAAAGTGAGACTGGGATTTGGGTGAAAGCAAAGCAGGCAGCACTGTGTGCATTTTGTCTCATTTGCTTTTTCATCCTTTCTTTATGCTTTCTGGCATGCAACTAAGCCTGGCTGACAGATCACATATTTACAGGTGGTACTTGCTTTTACACAAGCAGCACCCTTGCAGAGTAATGGTGATAGAACTGTTGGCTTTCTGGGGTAAATCTTCCTAGTAAAGGTCTGTGTGGATTGAGTAAATAAAAGAATAAAAACACATATATAAAGTGATTTGCAGTGCATGAATGAAACATGTATGGTTCTGGTTCTCTCAGTAAGAATTTGAATGCAAATGTAAATACAGCTATTGTCCTAGCAACTAATTATTTAAATAATAATTAAAAAATAGATAAACTTTAAAAAGAATCAGAAACTGCCTCAAAGTTTTGTAGTGTAAATAGTGTAGATATTTACAGAGTAAATTGTGTAGATATTGCTTCCATATTTAGGTTACATCTACGGATTTCTAAAGCTGTTCAGCCAAATGAATTCAAGTACCAAGTAAAGCCACTCTGAAGTTTTTTGGCATCCTCTGTCTTATTTGAGACACATTCAGGATAAAAAAAAAACAAAAAAAAAAACATATTCCTTTCCATTGTTATAAATGGCATGTGTCATATTACAATTCTAGTGTACTGAATGAGCATAAGGGAAATTTACATTTCTGCTGTTTATGTTGATTTAATCTGGTGCCTAAATGCAGAATCTGGTTTACCAAAGTGCATTCTTTAGATCCCAGGAGAAATGTGTCTGTGGAAAACAGTTTTTAGGAACAGGCTTGAAGTGATCCTAACACAAACTGGAAGAGAGGATCCTTGATAATTTCACATCAAATCCTAATCTCTTATTTAGATGCTGGTATTAGAATTATGTTTTCCTAATTATGTTGCTTAGTAAAAAAAATAGATGCTGTGGTTTTGTTCTGAAGTTACAGTTGCAATGAGATATTTTTATTGTTTCATAATATGTAGATAAGCTTTTTAAATTCATGTTTCAGCTCTCATTTGAAATGTGTTTTTTTATGATTCTCAGGAGCTCCAGATGGATCAACAAGCTAAGAAACATCTCCAGGAGGAATTTGATGCTTCCTTAGAAGAAAAAGATCAACTTATTAGTGTTCTGCAAACTCAGGTAGAACACCATTCCCAAGAGGTGTTTTTAAAAATTAATTTTTTCCAGAAACTTTTTATGAATTTCCTGTATTGAGTGTCTATGTTTTATTATAAATGCTGTTGTTTTTTAAGGCTTGAGAGTTTATGATTCCCTAGAAATTAAATATATACCTTTAGAACACCTTTGGAAAATCTCATTCTTGTTAAATAGAGGTGTTTGATCTGCGTTTAAATACCTTAGCAATGTCTTTGTTATCAAGAACATAACATTAGCAGATATTCGAGCTAAAAATGCTTTTGTAAAATATGTGGATTTTCCTTAATTGATCTTTGCTGTTTCTCCACTTCTAATTATACTATTTTTGTTGCTTGGAAACATAATTGTGATTTAAAAAAATGCTAAAAATGACCAGACAAGATTCTTCCTTTCTCTCCTTACTGAGAACAGTTTTCTTAACTTTCTCTTATCCTACAAATGAAAACATGGTCATCTTAGAATCCTTACCTTTTAACAAAAAGAACATTTTGTTTAGGTGTCGTTGCTGAAGCAGAGGTTACAGAATGGTCAGATAGGCATTGAATTACCTGATCCAAATAACCAGTCTGAATCACAAGTTCAAAGTCAAAGAAAAGAAATCAATGCAGAAAATATTGTGGAACCAGGAAGCGATGGTAGGTATTGGGGCTTTCTTTAAGAGATCTTGGTTTTGGTGGAATAAGCCTGCTGTTATTTATGATGGAGTAAAAGAACTTAAGGCACAACATATTTGGGCTGAAGTGTTCCTCTATATGGAGATATCTGAGCTATAGAAATCCCACTGTTGTTTAGATTTGGTTATTGATTGTGGGATAATATGTTGCTGGTATACCATGAAAATATCTGTTGTGACTTAATAAAAGTTAGGATTCAGATAGAGCTGAACATGCATCTTGAAATGCTCTTTGTTGAGGATCTGCCATGATTTTTCTGTTTAGATAACTTGTGGTGTTAGAGCAAAGATTTTCTTACCCAGTGTCATGTCTTTCCTAAGAATATGCTGCTTAGGAAGTAACATATGCATTTAGTCCCTGGGAATCAGAGTTCAGGATGTTTCCTGTGCTCAGATCTGCCTTGGGATTGTAGAGTGTAAGACCCATTCATGAAATGAATGGCTGAAAATGTGTCTGATCCTATTTTCAGAGCACCAGGACAGAACGTAAGATACTATCCATATGCTAGTGAAGAGAGTAGCTTTTCTAGCTATGAGAAGCTATTCATATAGAGAAGAGCATAGCTTAGAAAGATACTGAACTTGGCCTTTTTCCTGCCTAATGCAATATTGCCAACCTTGCTATACTAGAATTAATGTCATACTCAACACTGTGAAAACAGGGGCCTGTTTACTTGGCACTTTAGAGATACGATTTGTTCTGCATTTTGGGATTTGCAGATTAATTTGGAGTTGAAGAATGCATTTGCCATCTTGTATATGTGTGTGCATGATTTCTGGCTGGACCTGGAATGCATTTAAAGTAGTCAGTAGGAAGTTCTACAAACTTTGCACAACTTTTTTTTTTATTTTAAAGAACTGTGAGTCACTCACCATGTGAAATAGGAAAGTAGATCTGCATTTTGGAAAAAGCGTGCACGTGGTAATGTTGGTATATTGTCTGTAGAGGGTAATGAAGATTCTGTTAAAACACTGGAAACTCTTAATCAGAGGGTGAAGCGCCAAGAGAACTTGCTGCAGCGCTGCAAGGAGATGATTCGGTCACACAAGGAGCGCTGTGCCCAGCTAAGCAATGAGAAGGAGGCACTGCAGGAGCAGCTGGAAGAGAGACTTCAGGAGCTAGAGAAAATGAAGGTAAAACGCTCTTGATTTTATGGGTAGCTACGAGAACAGTGTAAGAATTCCAGTACTTGCTGAAGATCATCTTGTAAGCCAAGATGCAAGTAGGGGAGCAGATGTTAGGCATGTTTCTTGCCCATTTTACTGTTAGAGCTCTCTCATTCACAAGAGAACCCCTGCCTTTGGATACCTGAATTGTTACAGAAGCAATGAAGCAGCCTAACAATGAAAGATTTAGGAGTAATTCTAAGGCTGCCTACTTTCATTTCCCTGAACTTCATTCTCTGCTTTACCTCTAAGGCATACTGCAGGGCCCCATTGCTAGCCTAATTTAATTTTTTTTAATGTAACAACAGTTTTGGTTATTTACCAATCTAGGAATCATTCTTTCTAAAAGCCAAACGCTGAGTGCTTGCCAGAAGGTATTTTCATGTGGATGGCAGCGATTAAAGCTTTTGTGGATGGCCTCTCTTTATTTTCATTCTAGGACCTTCACATGGGTGAGAAGACAAAACTGATTACACAGCTGCGTGATGCAAAAAATTTGATTGAGCAACTAGAACAGGACAAGGTAAATAAGGAAGAATTTTTATATAAACTGTAGTTTTGGAAGAAGAGTGGTTAAACTTGAAATATCTGACTAAGTGGTGTTTGAAGGTGTTCATAGTCACCTATTTTGGACTCCCATGGTTACACACCTCAATGCAAGATTTAAAGAATCTAACGAGGATGAGATGCAACATAAAGGAATAAGCACCCAATGAAGTAGCTGTAGTTTCTTAGGAATATGAAGAGTTTCTCCATTTTTATTCCATCAAATATTTTTATTCCATCAAATATTTTTATTCCATCAAATATTTTTATTTTTTTTTAAACTGTGATTACTTGGAGTAACTTTTGATGGTGGTGTAACATGCAGCTGGCTAACACTCATCATCTGTGCTTGCTCTTTAAGGAGAAGCAGACATACAATAGTACTTTTAGTTTACAGAATACATATTTCAAAGAAAAACGTCTATCCCAAGAAAATAAATTTTTCTGATGGTCCTTGTTTCCTGGAGGAGTATTTTTAACCACTAGATAAATTTTGGCTCTTCGAAATAATTCCTTTTCTGATCTTTTTATTATTTTCTGTTTTCTGACATAGAAAAAAAAAAAAAAACAACACAACACAATTTCTGATATTATAGTAATGGATTAAAGTTTATTCCTAACGAGGAGTGTGTCCTAGCTTGAAATTGTTTTCGATATGCATTTTATTTGTTTGTTAGCTTTTATCACAAGGACCTTTTCCATAGGGCATGGTAATTGCAGAGACAAAGCGACAAATGCATGAAACATTGGAAATGAAGGAGGAAGAGGTAGCCCAGCTACGTGCTCGGATCAAGCAGATAACTACACACGGCGAGGAGTTGAAAGAGCAGAAAGAGAAATCTGAAAGAGCTGGTAAGAAACTGAAGTTTATTAGCTTTCATATTTGATCACAAGAAAGCTTCAGCATATTCTTTTTGCAGTTTTTCATCAGGTGTTATTTGGAATGGGTATTAAAACATGCTTTTTTTCCTAATGTTCTGCTGCGTCACCCCTGCTGGCATCATTACTAACTTCATTTCCAGTCGTGAGTTATTAACTGTTCTGTGTGATACTCTACTATCAGTTCAACTGGGGCAAGTAAGGAAACTGCTAAAGCAGCTGTACCTTTATAGCAGAAAAGATTTGACATAGTGTTGTATTGGTGTAATTTCAGGAGGGGAACTTTGGGAAGATTTTTTTAAAAATGCTAATGCCTTGAATATTTGCTATAGAAAACATAGCAATTAATGCATAAGAACTTGAGAAGATATAGAAACAGAAGGATGTGTTACAATCATAACAAACATTTGCTTTCAGTAGTTGTAGCAGAAGAGTTTCGGGTCTTTTTCCTAGGAAAACATCAGTGATGATCCTGTTGTTTCGGGGTTTTGTAACCTAATATTTGTACAGTTATTCCACACCGAAGTTTGCTGTTGTTGGAAATTTGATAGCATTAATTTTGTGTACTTTCAGTCAGTCTTTCCACATTTTTCTTTTCTTTTTTTTTTTTTTTTTGAACATAGTGAAAGCTATTTGGCACTGTATCTATTTAAATTCTTAGACAAACATTTAGATTGTTCTCATCATAGGCATTTAGAGGGAGTAGTTCACAGTCTTGGAGGAGCTATGATGTGATCAGTTGCATAAAGCATGCAGTATAGTATTTTTTTCTCTGTAAGTACTGTAGTGTAAGTACTGAGAAGTTCCAACCATACACCTTGTAGCAGTTTTATTTTAAATCTATGTAAGTTTAAATCAGAACTTTCAATTTTAAAAATGAATTTGTGATGCAGAAGAGCAGGTTCAGCTTCCAAAACCAGCAAAGGAAACATAAAGATAAGAAAGCAACAAATGGTCAGACAGAAGACTTCTGAACAACCTGTGAAAATAACAAATATTTGGATTAGGTGCCCTCCTTCCCTGACCTTTCATGACAATTTTTAGCTTTGAAATCCGTGTTGTAGAAATCAGTGACTCCTTTGCTGAAGTTGGAATTCTTGGAGACTGGAAAGTTTAGATTTTATTTTGTTTTTTTGTTTTGTTTTAAGCAAAATATAATTATCAAGAATATTTTAACATCCCACAGATAGGAAGCTGCTGCTGACATTGAAACATAGCCATTTTTGAAGTGGTAGAAACCTTTAATGAGGAACTAATGTCCACACACTCCTGTTTGTACAGTCGTTTCCTCACATCTGCGTAGTTGGAATATGAAAACGAGTTAAAGACAATCTCTTTTCATGGAAATATTAACTACTGTAGTGACAAGGAATTTCACTTAGTACTATGTATTGAGTACATTGCACTTCACTAAGAGATTTGTGTGTTATATGTTCTTTTTATTTTTAAGTGCTTATGGTAAAGTTTATGGTGTATAAGTGTCCATTTTAACATAGAATGCTTATTTTTGTACTCTCTTAAGCATGCATATGCAGATGTTGGAACCTCTGGAAGATTACTTAGTGCATTTAATTTTATTAGGTTTTCCTATGCATTCCAAAGAAATCGTGATGCACAACTGAAGTGGAGCTTAATGCAGTCAAAATCATTGTTCTGACATTTGAAAAGACACCATGAATATTGGGAAAGCTTGAAATTGGTTCTTTGTCACAGCCTTTGGTTTTCACAAGTTCTGTGAACTTGGCAGCCTTACGTATTTGAGGGCTACAGATAGGTTACTTGGCTGGTTAATGTGAGATTATTTTTGATTGTAGGCTTGTTAATTTTTTATATCGTGATTCAGTGAAGATTTGCTTAGTGCAATATTGTATTTGCAGCAGTGTTACATTTCATCTACATTGTGACAAAATAAAGATTTGTACTTTTTTTGTACTTGGCATTTACTTCAGCGTACAGTATAGCACTGGGACAAAAATCAATGTATTTTGTGGCTACTTCATATTTTAAATTTTGTCAGTGTCACGTATCTGGCTTTTTTATTGCAATGAAGTGACAGTGCTGAAAAGCACCAGTATTTGATTTAATACAACAAAAAATAGCGACAGTTTAATGTTAATGCATTTCTGTGTACTGAAAGATGCATATCCTTATTTTGTGTGTGTTGTATAAACTATAACTGAGTGTCCCCAGTAAATGTTCAGTTTTTTTTATAGTTAGAAGTACACTGTATTGAAATCTCACAGAGCATCTTGTTTTTGTGCATCCACACATGCCAATAAGTGAATCATGGTGCCTTTCCCAAGCCTTGTATGAACAGGACTGGGGTAAGGGCTTTCTTTTCTTACATCAAACATTGGGTGCTTGGTCTGGGCTCTAAAAGTAAATTCTGTGCTTCTCAGGCAATGGCAGTTCATTAACTGGAAGCAACAACAAATGTTACTGAATGCTTTTCAAATTATGTACATTATTTCTATTTTCACTTAGCAATAATATTGTTAGAATTAGTGAATTTATTGCTAAACTGAAGTTTGTTACTCCTCAATTTACGGCAAAGTTCTTTGACTTCTCAGAATGCAGTTAATTGATGAGTTTATTCTGTGAAGTAAAATAAACAAGCAGGCTTAAGAAAGTGAATTCCTATTTCTTCTTGCTGCTTTCTGCAGATGACATTTCCTTTGCAGGATTAATTAGTTTATGCTTTGTAAATTTCTATGGAGATTAAAAAAGCCTCAACTCTGTGTTGAGAATCCTGCATAGCTGCTCAAACCAACTGTAGGAAATTAATTCAACCTTTATTTCTCAAGTAGCTTTTTGACAAGATGCCTGCTCTCAGCCTTCAGTAAGAAAACGTAAACATCTTTTGCCAAATCTGTTCTGTGCTTTGTGCACGATTTCCAACAGTAGATGGCACTACAGCTGAAGGTAATACATGTTTGCAGTACTTACCAGGGTAACCAAGAAGCCTTCACAACACTGACTTGTGTTACACAGGGCAGCAGAGGCAAGGAAGGGAGAGCTGGAACTGATACTTAGGAGTAGCATATGTAAAGCAGTTAACTTTCTGGTGCACATCTTATAAGAATCAGTTCTGCAACCTGGTGCTTCTTAGACTCAGGCTCTGTTTGATTTCATGTCAAAAATATCTGATGGTCTGCTTTGGTCACATGAATGAGTTCTTGCAAGACTTGTCTGATGCTTCCTTGTTGTGTCTGTTAGCACTTCTGTTTTACCAGTGAGCCTTAATGAGACCAGTACCTTAGACAGAAGGATCTTATCTCAACATTAGCTGTGCTGGTTCAGAAGGGCAGTGGCAGTGTCCTTACTTTACTCTTGGGATTCAGAATAGATGTACTTAGATAAAAACACAGACTTCCTATTCCAAGCTTTTTTCCACAGTAGTATTAAAAGCTTCAATAGATTAGAAAAATAATAGTAATAATAGTAATTTAGACTGTGTTCTCCTTTTCTGGTGTTAGCCCTCTACTGGTTTGAAATTCGCTTGTGTTACGCTACACTAGAATTAACTACTCTGATTTAAAACGTTGTGTTTTGCTGAAGTGCTAAAAGTGCCTGAGATGCATATAATTTAACTTTTACAGAACCGTGTGTGTTTGTGAAGTGTTGCTTTTTTGTGCTTTCATATCTCCTTGACGTTTCATCCAGCAGCTCTGCCTAGTGTTTGCATTAGCATCCTGCTTGCAATTATGGCAGTGCAGCTGTCATCCTGCATGTTGCTCAGCTTTCACTTACCAGCAGGTCAATCTTAGTGCAAATTTGATTCTTCTGTTTAGTGAGTTTGTGGGTGGCGGCAAATGCATTAGATTTCCTTTCTCGGAAGGAAGAGATTTCTTAAATGAAATTAAGATTTTATTACTCATAGTAAGTGAAACAGTGAAATATCTTAAAATCTGTTAGATGCAGGGTTTTTTTTTTTTTTTCCAAATTGTATTTAGTAAAAGTTTAGGCTGATTTGGCTGTCTCTGTGTGCTTTGGCTAGGGCTAAGGGAAGAGGAGAGCAGTCACTACCAGTCTCCAGATGCAATAGTGCAGCCTGCATTCATGGTTTGGGGCACAGGAGGAAGGAGTGGAGTCCTGCTGGCTCTGGGTGGCAAATGCCCCAGTGGAGATGATGAAGAACATGCTTGGAAAACAAGTGGCTGCCTCATTAGGAGCTATAGGCTTTGTGCATGCTGGCATTATACTTTACACTGCTTTGCTCTTTGACGTAATCTCTTAGATTTTTGTAAAGAGTTCTTGAAGTACTTTGTAAGGAGGTATTGGAGTAGAATGAGGAATGAAAAACTGGGTATGATTATGTGGTTTGGTATTGTCATGGTCAATAGCCTGTTAACATCCTAAAACATAATTGTTGCTGTGAAAGCTTCCTTGCATAGCAGTTGGAAAAGGTCAGAAATTGGATGAATGCAATTTTATGGGCTTAAGTAACTTGGAAACATATTTGTGGCATTGGCTCAACAAGAACAGTTTGTTCATAAAGACTGGTTTCAAATGTTATCAGAAGATTTTGAAAAGAAAGTACAATTTGCTTCTCTAATTCATGCCTGAGTATTATTAAACATGGTTAACTGTATTTGTTTCACAAAAAAGGATGACAGTTAACTGTTGTGAATGCCTACTAAACAATGGTGTATCAAGAAACGAGGGATGTGTGTTTTTTGGGTTTAGAATTAAGTGGGAGAAAGGTGAGCATACTAAATAACATCTTAAAAAGTGATTCTATATCTATTCCAAACTAATATCCAACTAGTCCACGTTTTTCTGTGCTCTGTTAAATTACAAACGTGATACTGGTACTATGATCACAGATTTTTACAAGGGTATTTTGCCAAAGTTAGTTTATGTAAAGAGTGTACCATATACCATGCTGTCTTGAGACTGAATTTTCCTTTGACATGCAGCAGAGGCTTCTCTGCTTATGCCCTTTTCAGGAAAAGGGACTTCCCAGATGGTGAATACTTCCTAGTCTAGTGTAAATCTATGGTGATTCTGTTGTCAGTTTCAGCGAGGGATTCAGATATTGAAACTGGTATTGAAAAATCATAACAAAACTGCTCCCATTCAAGAATTCAAGAATGGATTTGCTTTCTTTCTATATTCAAATGATCACCTCAGAAGTGAAATAGGCTAGAATATTTGTTATCATAAGAAGCAGCTGTGAGATGATTGCTTCCAATATCTAAGCTGTGTTTCAGCAGACCTGTCATTACCTCTGCTTGTGTTCTTTGAAACACGTTACAAATATTCAAGTTCTTTTGAGAACAAATGGTAATATTTTTTCCTTAGATTTTTTATTTTAACAAAGTTTAAAGAAGCACAAGGCAATCTTCATGAACACACATTTTTCCAGTGTCCCTTCTAATTGTGTTCATAGCAGTTTATTTTGAAGATAGGCAGTGAAAAGATGAAATTAGCAAAACCCATCTCTACACAGTATTAAAGAGAAGTTTATCAGGGTTATGCTGTGGGAAAGGAACAATTCTTTGGTAAATAAAATACAGTGGCACTATACATGAGTATTCTGTTCAGGAAGAGTTCTTTCATGATTTATTGAAAAGTGAGAAAATTATTCAGTGCTTATGGTTGGAAAAAGAGCCATAGTTTTACCTGTATAGTTTATATACCTTAAAAGGATTTTAGGGGAAGAAATAGAAACTACTGAAAGCCAAAAGCAATCGAGGCATTCATGGCCATTTATCAGTTTTTCCTTTCTAGATAATAAACTCATGAGAATTCTTGATGGATTCATAAGCTCACAAACTTTTTTTTTTTAATGTTTTTTTAAAATCTCTCCAGCTTTTGAAGAGCTTGAGAAGGCTCTGAGTATGGCCCAAAGAACAGAAGAAGCCAGGAAAAAATTACAGGCAGAAATGGATGAAAAAATCAAAGCAGTAGAAAAGGCAAGTGAGGAAGAGAGGGTAAATCTTCAGCAAGAGTTGACCAGAGTGAAGCAAGAGGTGGTTGAGATTATGAAGGTAAAAGCTGAAACTCTTATTTATTGTTGTTTTTTAACGTAATCATTACATTACAAATAAGTTACAGCTGTAAAATTCATTTAATATATCAGAACATTATTATAAAATTCTAGCTATTTAAAACATTAGAGAAACATTAATCTCTGAAATGAAAGATTTACATAACGTGTAAAGTGAAATAGAAAACTAACGTGTATATTTTGTCACTAACAGTTTAAAATCAGTATGTTACTCATTGTGAAATGAAATGTATTGCTTTTAGTTTCACAGTGTTTAATAAAAGGATTTACTAGAAGTACACTTGAGACTTGAAGTCTCAACGAGATGATAAGGATATGTTCCAATATTTACTACAGATGAAGAAATTAATGTCAGTGAACTCACACACATCTCCACTAGGACTCTAAGTTCTAATGCTGAGGACTTCCAATAATTACCCTAGCCCAGTACACGTAAAAGTTTAAGAACTTGTTGCCAACGGTTGATCACTACTTAAGAATAGCTAAAATCTGCTTGATCAAAGCAAATTTTATTCAGCTAGTATCAAATACATACTTCACATCTTGCTAAGATGTAGAGTGCAGTTCTTGTCTTGACATTTGTTGTGTTACTAATTTTTCATTGATGCTTTGGGAGAATGATTTATTTACATGATGTTATTCATAGGTGAAGCATCTATGTAAGCTGTAGACAGCTGTTTAAGGAGGTCAGGATGATTCTCTTGTGGCTCATGAAATAATGGGAATAGAGGGAAGGTCGCAGACAGAAGCTTCTGTTCCAATTTGTTATTACATCTGAACTAAAATTGAAAACACGAGTTCACCTTTGTAGAAGAGTCTTTTGAAAATGTGATGTTTCTTTTATGAGAACTATGGAAGACTTTAAGTAACATCTGACAGGACTTATTACTAAGAAGTGTCTCAAATAATTGTTAGTTACTGAAAGGAAGCAAATACTTTCAGTTTCCTTTCTCTGCACTGTATTTCTTATTGGGAAATAATACAAAATGTTTTGTTAGTTAATGTTTTGAAATTAGTTTTTTTGTGACGTTTGATTCCCAGAAGTCTTCAGAAGATCGTGTGGCTGAGCTGGAAAAATTACATAAAAAAGAAATGGCTACCAAAGATCAGGAGCTAAATGAGAAATTGCAGGCCCAAGAAAGAGAGTTCCAGGAGAAGATGAAGACAGCTCTTGTAAGCATTCCTAAAATGTGTAGAAAGACATTTCTCTAAGTGTGAGGTGGGTACTAGGAGACTTAAATCTGACCCATTCCACAATGGGAGTCCTTTAGCACTCAGATATGAGTGCCCTCCAAAAGTCAAGGAGCTCAGAGACATCAGAGCATGAAAGATAAGCAGCTACAATGACCCAGACTGAGTTAAAGATAATGAATCACTTTTAATCACTGACAGCTGCATGTTCTGTGAAAAATTTTTACTGTTTTTGTTAGACTCTCTTTGTTAGACTTGTTTTTTTAATTTCTACCTCTGAATTATTGGAGATTGGCCACAGCAACTAGAGAAAAAGAGGTACAAAGAATGAAGTTGTTAAACAAAAAGCATTGACATTCATTATGTCTGGTTATGTTATATTGTCAGAGAAACACATTTGCAGTGGTAGATCTCTGGTAGAAAAAATCCTTATGGGTCTTCGCTGTTTTCTGTAATCTGTAATCCAGTTCAGCTCATTGTGCAGCTTCACTTACCAACTAGGTATTCTTTTGTGCTCTTCTTTGGTGGCTGGTGACTAGAACAGAGGATGTTGACTGTTCCTTCCTGAGTATATTCTTCTACTTGTTTTTAAGATTACTTTTGAATTATAAGAAATAGAGATATAAAAATCTTTTAGCGGAATCAAGTGGGACAGATGTTTGTTCCCCAGAGGTTACTCACAATTAGTAATGGTGACCAAGCAAAAATGAAATGCTTGAGTTGCATTGTTTGTCATGCATTCAAAAAAAAAAAAAAAAAAAAAAAGTGGAAGGCGAATGATTGCCAAGTAAAGAAAATGATCTGTAATAATCTGTTTTCACAGAAATACACGCCATGTGTTTGTATGTAGAGGAAATATGTATGATTACTATGATTACTATATGATTCCTACTAACTTGTTTGTAAATTTCTTATTATACTGTTTTTGAAGGTGTGGGCCATCTTTATAGTGTATTGTCTTATTCATTTTGGTACAGGAGAAAAATCAGAGTGAGTGTTTAAAAACCCTTCAAGAGCAAGAGCAACAGGAATCCCTAGCCTTAGAAGAACTAGAGCTGCAGAAGAAAGCAATACAGTCAGAATGTGACAAAAAACTTGAGGAGATGCATCAGGAAGTAGAGACTTTTAGAACTGTGAGTAAATATTACAGAAAAGTAAACATTTTCTAAGAATGCCTTTCAGAATATTCTTAACTTTGACAAGTTTACGAATAATGTAGATGTTACGTGATCAGGTTTGGTTTAATTACATAGTGTAATAGTAGTGACCAAAATGTGATGTATTACCAAAGTAAGCTGCAGCTTGTACTTTTTTTTACATGATCTGATTTCAAAATAGAACAATCCATTCACTTTGTATCATGGTGTAGTATATAAATTTGTATCCATCAGCACAGGTTTTATGTGTGTAGTACAGGGAAGCAGTGCTTTCATCAGTTTAATTTATGGGTACTGCTACCATACAAACACTTACAAAGATGCTTAAGTAGTAAAAATGTGCTTAATTTTTTTGAAGTGTCTTTTGCTGTTGGTCACAGGAAAGTTTGTGTTTTCTCCTAAAGGAAGTTTGCATTTTATTCAACCACTCCCAAACTTGAAGTTGCAACTTTTGCTTATGGAGGATTTTCAACTTTACATACAATTATATGAGGTGGAATTAAGATAAAACTAGTATGTAGGTATAAAGCCCAATAGCCCTTGTAGACTCAAGAAACCTTTAATCCAATCCTGTTTGTTTTTAAACAAACAACATTGTTCTTTCATACATTACATGAATTAATTTGTTTGAATTATTTGTTTCCAAGTTTTTATTTTGTCTGTTTTCCCTGCAGTGGAATAGAACTTCTTTTTTCCATTAGCTAACTCACTTAACTTAATGGAAGCAAGGTTGATAACAAACTAGATAAATTAAACTGTGTTTTCTAACAGAGAATTCTTGAATTGGAGAGCTCTCTTGCAAAGTGCTCACAAGATGACAGAAAGCGTTCAGAGGAATTAAGCACTTTGATGGAGTCTGAAAAAATGCAGCATAACAAGAAAGTGAGTGATTTGGTTGAAAAACACAAGGAGGAATTGGAGAATGTGAAGCAGCAGCAGGAAAAGCTTTGGACAGAAAAACTTCAAATTTTACAGCAGCAGCATGTAATTGAGATAGAAAAAATGAGAGAGAAGCAAGAACAAGAAATAGATACAATACTGAAAGAGAAAGAAACGGTTTTCCGTACGCATATAGAAGAGATGAATGAAAAAACATTAGAAAAACTTGACGTGAAACAAACAGAATTAGAAGCGTTGTCATCTGAGCTATCTGAAGCACTAAAAGGACGTCAGGATTTAGAACAAGAGCTCTCAGAATTGAAAAGTAAATTGGGTGAAGCAAAGCAAGAATTTGAAGGAAAGTTGGAAGCAGAGAGGAATCAACACAAAGAAGAGATTGAAGTTATGATAAAAGAGCATGAGGTGTCTATTCAAGGAGTCGAGAAGGTACTGAAGGAGGAACTGAACCAAATGAAGCAATCGTTGGAGGAGAAGGAGAGACTGCTGGAGGAAATAAAAGCACATGAGCAAGAACTAAAGGAATCTGCACAAAGATCTGAAGCTGAACTTGTCCAAGTGTCTGCAAGGCTAGTGGAGGCTTCACTATCTCAGCAGAATACTTCTAATGAGCAGGCAAAGCAATACGAAGAGGAATTAGCAAAGCTCCAGCAAAAGCTGATGGACCTGAAAGGAGAGAAATTGGAACTTAGTGAGCAGTTAGTAAGAACTGAATCCCAGCTGAATGAAGTCAAGAAGGAGTTAGAATTGTACACCTCTCAGGTACATGACCTGAAGCAGCATTTGCAAGAGCAAAGCGATGAAAATACCCAGAAAATAACATCTCTAACACAACAGTATGAATCTCAACTGAGGGATCTACAGGAAGAGGCTGATAAGGCAAAGCAAAGTCTAACTGAAAGGGAAAATGACATCGAACATGTGAGGAAAGTACAGAATGAACAAATGGAAGAGCTTAAACAGAAACTGTTAGCCGCAGAGGAGAGAATTAGTACTTTACAAGGAGACTATGAAAATAAGCTAAAACGTCAGGAAAACAAAATGGAGAAAATGAAGCAGAAATCGAAAGATATGCAGGAAGCCTTCAAAAAGAAACTCGCTGAGCAAGAATCGAAGCTAAAGAAAGAGCTTGAAAATAAGCAATTGGAGTTCAGTCAGAAAGAGAGTGAATTCAATGCTAAAATGTTGGAAATGGCACATGCCAGCTCAGCCGGAATCAATGATGCTGTGACAAAACTGGAGTCTAATCAGAAAGAGCAACTGGAGAGTCTTGCTGAGGCTCATAAGAGGGAGTTGGAAGAAATTAGCCAAAGTTGGGAAAAGAAACTCAGTCAGCAGGCTGAAGAGCTCCAGGAAAAACATGAAATGGAACTGCAAGAGAAAGAGCAGGAACTTGGAGATCTGAAAGAGAAACTTGCCACCTGCAGTGCTGAAAAAGAGGACTCGAGGACAGAAATAACCCGACTGAAGGAAGAGCAAGTCAAGAGGAATGAGACCCTGAAGCAATTGCAAGAAGATCTAGAACAGTCCTTAGCTCAGATGAGTGCTCTGTCAAATAGTGAAAGTGGCCTGAAAGCACAGCTCCAAAAGCTGGAGGGTGATCTTAGTCAGTCCCTGAAAGAGAAATTAGGACTTCAGGAACAGATCAGTAGGCAGAAAGCAATTGAAGAGAAGGACAAAGCCAGAATTACTGAGCTGGCAGATAAGCTGAAAGCCCTGGAAGAGAAACTCCAAACTATGCAGTCTTCTCACAATAAGGATCGTGAAAATTATGAGAAAAAAATCGAGGCTTTTCAGCTACAAGAAACTGAGGTTAAGGAGCTTGCAGCACAATTAGGTGCTTATTGGAAGAGCGCTGAAGTTCTATTGCAAACAAAAAGCAATGAACTAATTGAAAAATGTAATGAAAAAATTGGCATAGTAACATGCAAAATTGCAGAATGTGAGCGCCAAACTATAAGAGTTAAAGAAGCGGTAATTGTTAAAATGAATAAGTCAGTGCAGCAGCTGCAAGAGAAGGACAATGTAATACAGTCCATGAGGGCTGATATTGAAGGTCTTGTAACAGAAAAGGAACAATTGCAGAAAGAAGGAGGGCATCAGAAGCAAGCAGCAACAGAAAAAGAAACTTGCATAACACAGCTCAGGAAGGAGTTATCAGAAAATATCAATGCTGTCACCTCAATGAGAGAGGAACTCCGGGAAAAGGAATCAGAGATCTCAACTCTCAACAAAACAATAAATGAGCTTAACGTTAGACTTGAAAGCATGGTAAGCTTAACAGAGAAGGAGGCAGCCATCTCTCTATTAAGCACTCAACATCAAGAGGAGCGGTTGCAGTTGTTAAACCAGGTACAGGAGTTGTCATCCAGTGTTGAGCTACTGAGACAAGAAAAAGCATCGGCTCTTGAGCAGGTGGATCATTGTACAGCCAAGCTGTCAGAGTGGAAGACAAAAGCACAAACGAGGTTTACACAAAATCATGAAACTATTAAAGATTTGCAGAGCAAACTTGAGGTAAGCAATACCCAAGCCACTAAAAAAGATGAAGAGCTAAATAAGCTGAAGGAGGAGCTGGCTCAGCGAGGCAAGGATCTGGATAGTTTAAAAAGTGCCCTGGAACAAAAGGAAAACAGGATAGAAAAACAAGAAAGTGAGTTAACTGCAGAATTAAAAATCCAAGCAGCAAGAGTTGCTGAATTGGAAGAACACATTGCTCAGAAAACTTCAGAAAATGATTCCTTGATGGAAGAACTTAGGAGGTATAATGAACAAAAAGACGCAGAGCAAAAAGAGGTAGCTTGGCAACTCCAGCAGGCAGAGAAGGTTGCTTTTGAAAAAGACAATAGATTTAAGGAGGCTGAAGAAAAAGTGCTCAATCTTGAAAAGGAAGTAGGTTCTCTGAAAGCTGAACGTGAAGCAAAAGAGAGAGAATTTGATCAAATGAAATCAGCAATACTTAAAAGCAAAGAGGAAGAACTAAAAGAGTTAGAAGAGAGACTGAATGCAGAGAACAGCATGAAGTTGGCAGATCTGAAAAAGAAGGCAGAGCAAAAAATTGGTTCTATTAAAAAGCAATTGTTGTCTCAAATGGAAGAAAAGGAACAGCAATTAAAACAAGATAGAGAAAATCAGGTAAGACATTTGGAACAAAAAGTGCAGGAAAGAGAGGCCAAAATTGAATCCCTGGAAGAAAAGATGAAGTCAACAAAAGATTCCATGGAATTAGAGAGAGAAATGCTGCAAAAAATAGAGAGTGCTAAGGCTGCTATAGAGCAAGAAAAAAATGAAATACTTAAGAGTGTCCAACAGACACACGAAGAGAAAACGAACGAGTTACAGAAGGACTTGATAGAGAAAAACAAGTTGTTGCAGAAGTATGAAAGCGAACAACGTGAAAGTATAGACTCTCTTCTAGAACTGCAAAAGAAACAGGAAGAGCTCCTTAAAAAATTGGAATGTGCCGAGAAGAGACAGAGAGAGGAGCAGAGTGTGACTGAAAGGCTCAGGGAAGAGCTTGAAGAGCAGGCTAAAAAATACTCCTTGCTAGTGGATGAGCATGCTCGGTGTGGTGGTGATTTAGCAAGTAGTAGGGAAGAACTGAAAGCTAAAGAACAAAAAAATCTGGATATGGAGAATATAATTGGAGATTTCCAGAAAAAAATGCAGGAAAAAGATGCAGTCAGTCACTCTTTAGAGCAGAAGGTGAGAGAATTGGAAGATAATCTAGCTAAGGTAAATGAAGCGCACAAGATAGAGATGGAAGATAGATGTTTGAAATATGAAGAAAACCTAAAAAGTTTACAGCAGCAGCTGGAAGAAAGAAATGACCGCTTGAAAGCTTGTGAAGCAAATGCTGAAGAAAAGACTAAATCTGCTTTGGAGCTGCAGAAGTTACTGGGTGACATGCAGAACCAGCTGAAGGACTTGCAAGCTAAACTGGAGGAGTCTGACAGGGAGAAACAGAAACTACGTAAGGATGTAAACAGTCTTCAGAAAGACCTGCGTACTCTGCGAAAAGAACATCAGCAGGAGCTTGACATAGTTAAGAAGGAGTCCTTAGAAGAAATGGAGCAGAAAATCAGGTAAATTCTTCATTCCCAGTCTGGTTAACATCTCCTTTATTTTTAACCATTTAAGGAGACCTTTTTATAGCTTGATTTTTAACAATGAAATGATGACTGGTATTTTGCTGTGTTTTTTTTTTTTTTTTTTTTTCTAGATAGACTTAAACAGAAAGCAAGGAACACATAAAACATTATTTGATTCATCAGTTTAAAATATGGTTTCTCATTTGACAAAATAATACCACTTGAATTGTTCGGTGCATTACCAGAACATAAGATACAGTTTTAGTTTCCTGAAACAAGTAACAAAGTCGACTAAAGCTCAGTTCTGAGAGCTTCGTGTCACTGCCCTGTAAAGTAGCTCAGTATCAATTGAAAGTTCAGAGTGTGAACTGGGGTGGTGGGAGGGAAACAAGTGGTACCAAGAATTGTCCACATATACTGCAGAAAATCTGGTATGATGTTCAGTGTTCTGATAGTTTTATCAGGCAGGGAAGTTCCTAAAAACTCTACTATGGGTGCCCATTTAATTCGAAGTTTTGAGCAAAAAGTGTGTATCTTCGAGTGAAGGAGAGTGAGAGGACAATGGCACACGATGGTTCAATTCTGGTTTGTTTGTTTTGTTTTACAAATAAATCACCTGTGTCTTCCAGGTGAATTAGATGGGAAGGAGAATCCCACAGAATTCAAAACCAACCCGTTATAAAATAGTTTTAGAAACTTCATGAATTTCTTCCCTTTCTAAACTGTTCTCAAACTCTTCAAAATTTTATTTTCTCGATGAATTTTTTTCTTACTTTTTTTGTACAGATGTGAACAAGAAGACATTGAATTAAAGCACAACTCTACATTAAAGCAGCTAATGAGAGAGTTCAATACTCAGCTTGCACAAAAAGAAATGGAATTGGAAACAGCTGTAAAAGAGACCATCAGTAAGTGATATGTAACTGTAAAATGGAAAGGCTGAAAAGTAACCAGGTGCTTTGAAAAGATATTTTATTTGGAACTCTGATGAAGATACGTATGTAATGATTTGTTGCTTCCTCAAGAAATCAGGGAAAACTTCTCTTGCTAAGCAAATATGTAAATGTTAATTGTAACACAATTAGGAAAAGATGTATTTAGTTTTTCTTCCTGTGTCTTTGGACCGTTTCTTTGACCTAGCTCTGTATCTGTCTGTATCTGTCACGGCAACAGTTACCCAAGACTTCCATTGATACTAAATTTTTTTTGTATGTACAAAAAACAAACAAACGAACAAAACCCCACTTTTAGAGATGAAAGCATTTCCATTGTAATACTGCTTTGGCTTCAGTAATATAGACATGTAATGCTGCGTAATAGTCTGTATGGCATTGAAGGAAGCCTTCTAGTGGAATTCAGAGAACATCCCAAGTTGTACGCTTTCATAGAGGATGATGGAGTCCAACTCCTGGCTCCGCAAAAGACCACATAAAATTCAAACTTTGTATCTGAGACCATTGCTCCTTGAACTCCCAGCAGCTTAGGGCTGTGACCATTGCCTTCAGGAGTGTGTTCCATGCACACCACCCTCTGGTGAAGCACCTGTTCCTAACCCCCAACCTGACCCTCCCCTGACACAGCTCCATGCCATTCCCTTGGGCCCTGCTGCTGTCACAAGAGCAGAGCTCAGCGCTGTCCCTCTGCTCCCCTTGTGAGAAAGATGCAGAATTGCCAGGAGGCCTTCCCTTCCCTGGATTTGAGAAAACCAAGGGACTTCAGTTGCTCCTCATTTGCCTCGTCCTCTAGACCCTTCACTGTTCTCATATCCCTCATGAGAGAGTGGATGCTCTCAGATAGATATATGTTCTTCTTATATTGTGATGCCAAAAACTGCACACAGTGCTTGAGGTGAAGCTGCACCAGAACAGAATCAGCATTGCAATTTCTTAGCTGAGCCTTATAGGTTTCATTCAGTGTTGCTACTAACGGGCCAAGCAGAGCATACTGCCTGTTAGCTATGTCATGTATATTATAATTAGAGTACAGTGTATTTCATATTTTTTTTTTTACTGTTGATCTTTTGCCATCATAATGTAAGTTGGGGTTGGAGAAGAAAGCATCTTGTGACTTCGTGTTTACTGAAGAGCTTTTTTTATGGATACCTACTGCAATTTTTTTAAGCTTTTTTAAGTAGCGTTGTGACTTAGTTCATCCAAATATGTATGCCTTTTGATTTTGCCTCCTCTCTTTTTTTTTTTAATAGGTAAAGCCCAAGAGGTAGAATCCGAATTGATAGAAAACCATCAGATAGAGACAACTCAGTTGCATAAAACAATTGCAGAAAAAGACGATGATCTGAAAAGAACTGTGAAAAAATACGAAGAGATCCTTGAGGTATCTTTCTAAAAAGTGATATGGCTACTTGCATTTCATAATAACTCTTATTTTTTCATTGCAGAACTGGACAGAAAACTGCAATGCATTTTAGCAAAGATCTTTTAGATCTCGCTGATTGAATTATACTTTACATGTGTGGTGGCCTAGTTTCCAATTAAAATATTTTGTTGTGTTTTTGGAATATTGAAGAACAGCAAAGATCAGTTCCCAACTCTGATCTGTGATAAGTCCTTATGTCCTCCAACAGTTTTTCTGTGCTCCAGATCATAACAGCAAAAGCAAGCAAGTTAAATTTTAACTTCCACTAGATGATGTTGTTGCTTCTAGCAAGGATTTAAATACAGTGCTAGAAATATCCTCATAGTATAGCTCCCTTCTTTGACATACTCTGTCTGGATTGGTACCACAGTTCTTAAAGTAAGGTTCTCTTTTATGCACAATGCAGTCGTTTTTTGCAAGTAAAACTTCCATTTTTTACTTCTAGCTGGACAATCTATCTTCATGATATTTGTAGGCATAGCCTTGCTCTGATATCACACCAACCAGAAGTTAGCAGCTAACTTCAGTATCAGAGATACTTGACCCTCTAAAGGATGCTTTCTGTTTAATCAAGTAGGAGTTTAGGTACAGAAAATATGCTGCAATAGACTGAATGGCTTTCAGGTGCTAGACTGTTACTGTATTGGGATGCAGTCTTTAACTTTGGACATTCTAGTTCTGCTTGTACAAATAATGTTTAAAAGACTGTGTTTTTTTTTAATTTGTAATAATTGAAAGAGAACTTCTGTTTGTTTATGCTGAGTCCCAAGAGCTATGTCTGAATATTTTATTGTAAAAAAACACAAATTTGCAGGCAGATTATATATCCTGCTCTGTTTTTTGAACGAGGCAATTTGAGTGGATATGACAGGATTTTAATGGAGTTCCCTTTTTTTTTTCTTTTTATCACAGAATTTAGAAAAATAGCATAATATAAAACCATGAAGTTATTTTTTTCTATGACATACATCATTCCAAATCATACTTGTGTATGCAGTATGTTGCCATTCATGTCCTTAAGATTGAAATAGATCTGTAATGTGAAATCATGAAGCTGTACTTCCTTTCTGTTTTGAGATGCATTTAGCCTGTATGAGAAGCATGCATGCTGTACAGAATTCATAGCCTTGCAAGTTTACGCTCCATTTGACTTTGTTGCAATTGGAGGCACAAACAATGATGTTCAAAGTGCAGTAAGCTGTAGTGTGATATTCTAAATTACAGACCACATTTATTTTTTAGATAATGGTGTATTTGTGAGTGCTTGTTTTTGTTAGTGTGGCAAAACAATAATGAAACCCTGCACCAGTTCAGACAATTCTGAAAAAGAGTTGCAAGAATCTTAAAAGTGAATAAATATTTGTTAAATTCAGTGGATGTCATATTCATTGAGATCTCTGCTAAAAAAAATAGGAGCATGTGCATCCACAGATTTTATCAACTGAATGGTAAGCTACCAGTTACTACCATAAATATACCCAACTTGACACATGGCAGGTTTGAGAAACTTTGAATCAAGAAAGTCATGGAGAGAGGTTTCTCTCAGTTATAAGTGGTAAGGAGATGAAGCAAAAATAATGCCAGTTGGGGGAAAGAAGTTTGATCATAGTAACTTTGTAGCTTTCTCTTGCACTTTAAATGTGGTGAATGATGCTAAAAATTAAACTAACTTGATGTGTGTATCCTTAAAGACTTGCAAGAATAAATCATTCTGTTAGAACGACTTATTTACAAAATGTTCTGCTGGTAATTTGTCTTGCTTTATGTGCTGTCTGCTTATCTTTTATAAGCACTGTTATCTAATAGGATTTCACTAGAGTCTCCCTAATTATGGACTTATAAATCAATATAGCCTATAACTTGAGGGCTTTATTTTTTCTATAGGTAAACTAACGAGTATAATTAGAGAAAAATGAAATGTTGTACTCCAGCTAGTTTATCTAAAGCCTGTCTAAGCTAAAGTTGAAATATGTAATTTCAGATGCATATCCCCATGTGAATAAGGGTAGGTTCTGTGGTTTATTGAAATCTTAGTTTGCAACTGTAATTATTCTGGATAGTGTGTAGTTTATGTATTTTCAGAGTATGCCAGATGCTGTATAGAACAAGAAGTTAATGTAATTCCATGTTGGAACCTCACATGATCTCTAATTATTTCAGACTCTAAATCATGATCTCTACTCAGTGGGTTGTACAAGTCATATCTTACAGAAGTTTTAATCATCCTTTCTAGTTGTTTCTTTTCTGTATTTTAGCTCCCTTCTATGACTAAGTGGTGTGCATGCAGTTTTGATTTATTTCAATGGATAGTTGTCTAGAAAATGAATGAATTTAGATTCTTAATGTAAAAAAAAAAAAAAAAAGTTAAAATCAACTAGCTATGCCAGTTTTTGACTTTTTAAATAGAAGAGTATAAAGAAACCATGGAAACATAGAATCTTGTTCAGCTCCTATGGTTGGTTGTTTCTTGCTCTTTTTCACTAGCCTTATACTGGATTTCAGACACATTGTTTCTGTGTATGGCATAAGTCTTTGCTGTCAGTCTGCTGTCATTATGTTTTGAGTGGTTAGATAATGATTTATTGTTTAACTAATAATTTCTTCCTGTAATTTGAAGGCTCGTGAAGAAGAAATGACAACAAAAGTTCGTGAGTTGCAGACACAGTTAGAGGAGTTGCAAAAGGAGTCCAAGCAAAGGATGGCAGAAAAGGACCATCGAAACAGTGAAAATGTGAGCTGGCATTAACATTACAGTTATGTCTCTAGGTGTGATGTGTTTTTGTCTTCATGAAGTTCTACGTGTGCAGCCTAAGTTGAATTTTGTTTATCTGAACTTCGCCTTCATGTACACATTTTGTTCTTTTAGGTGTTGTCTTCTTCCAAAGTGAACCTGTGCTAATATATTTGATACTACCTTTTTTAATGAGATGTTTAAAAAAAAAAAACAAAAAAACCTTTTTGTTCCTTTTTTGAGGAGGAGGGCAGGGGATTTTTTTCCTTCTACGTGTTTTTTGTCATTGTTGGGTTTTGGTTTTTCTTTTTTTTTTTTTAATAAGGAAAGGAAATTGCATTGGATCATTTGAATGATTTTTTTTTTTAGCTGAAATTCCCAAGATTACTGAAATAGACCTCTGAATACATCAAGGATGGACAGTGTCTGTGTGCTTTTGTCTTTCTGAGAACACATTCTAGTTAGAGGAATTGTTCTTTGATGGACAAAAATATGACTGAGATGAGGAAGAGTCTATGTGGCGTTGTCACTGATCAGAAAATTCCTATTAACCTTAGTTTAAGAATCTTCATTTTGATAGCAAGCACCGTTGGGCATACTGCATATTTAGAAATGCTAGGTTCTTCAAGTTATCTTTATGATAATTGTATTACTGACTCAAGAGAATTTAAATATAAGCTTTGATGCTTATCAGTACAAATAAGCATTAAAAAGTACTTTTTGGGCTACTATAAGTATATAAGCATATTTGTATAAGAATATGATTTGATCATTTCAGTTTTTATCTTCTTGGATTAGTCATATGTGACTAATCCTGAGAATGAGATATTTGATATTTTCTTTTTTCATATCTGCATTTTCATCTTTTTTTTTTTCTTGTTCTAGGTAACAATAGCAGAACTTCAGGTAAGTTTTTATTTTTTTATTTTTATTTTTTTTTCCCTTGGTAATGCTGTGTCACATGGAAACTAGCAGTACTGCTTATCATAGAATCATGGGATCATAGGATGGCCTGGTTGAAAAAGACCACAATGATCATCTAGTTTCAACCCCCTGCTATGTGCAGGGTCGCCAACCAGCAGACCAGGCTGCCCAGAGCCACTAAAGCAGTATGTTCAGTAGTTTATTGAAGTTTTCTGTATGTGGCTTTTCTTTCAGGCGCAGCTTGCACAGAAGACAACACTTGTCAATGATTCAAAGCTGAAAGAGCAGGAGTTCAAGGAGCAGGTAAGGCTGCTTCCCTTGAACAAGGGAAGAACATCATCTTTTTTGATGATTTGTATTTGGAATATTAAACTTTTTGTTCCTTCCAACTGATGATGTAGCACAACTCTATACAGGAAGTATGATACTAATATGTGTAAAATTGTTTTGACTCATACATCTATGCACATTTTCAAAATACTCCTCAGTCCCCAGGGTATGAAAATACCAAATGTTTGTGGTGCAGGTTATCAAAAACATTTGCAGAATGAAAAATGTATGAATGTCCTTTTTGAAATTATGGTTCCCCACTTTTTGTAAACTAGATCTTCTGGCTTTAGGTAAAATAAGTAATTTTCTGTCTGTGTTTTTATATGTGCTTATGTATGTATGTGTATATACATGTATACATAAAGTGTATATAGGTATATTTTCCTTAGTTGGGCACAGTTTTTAGTAACGTATTTAAGGGCAAATATATTTTGCTGTATTAGAATGTCAGGAAGCTTAGCTGGAACTTTTTATGCTTACTTTTAACTTACTTTTAACAGTTCTAATCTTGATTGTGCTCTGTTTAGATTCATGTACTGGAAGACAGACTGAGAAATTATGAAAAGAAAATGTATGTCACATCAGTTGGAACACCACACAGAGGTGCGTACGTAGTTTTCATCAGATAAGTTTGTGGATTTGAAAGATATGCTTTTGTTTAGAGACTCTATTAAAACACCAGGTTTTTGAAACACTTTCATAATGTTTTTTGCAAATCATGTAGCATTTTTGTTTGATGTCTCACAAGTGAAACAGCTCTGTATCAGCAATCTGTTATCTCCGAGGGGATTGATAGAGGCAGTTTCAGTGAAAATGGGGCGGAGGGGAATTATACCCTAGCTAACTGAATACAATGTTTATGACTCCTTAAACATCTTAACTATGCAATTATTACATTTCACAAATCTTTCTTGTGTTCCATGTCAGGACCCTTGCCATTCTTATAACTAAATGTCCTTTTCAAGATCTCCTGCTCTGACATCTTGATTACCGTACTATTACTTTTCTTGCTCTATCCATATTTATTAAGAACACTCCTTTAAAAAGTTGTTTTGCAGAGTTACTTTAAGCAAGTATTTTTAACCTCTCTCTGTGGACCATTTCTTCTTTATCAAAAGTCCACTTTCTCTTAAGACTTATGTCCCAATTAGTCCAATATCTAACCTAAACAGCTAATTTAATTTGCCACTGGCCTGTGATGCTGGGCTTACGTTAAATTATGCATCTTTCTATCTTCCATCTTTACCTTGGTAAGAATAAGCTAAACTATTACTTTATTCTCTATAAATATTCCTCATAAAATTTATCCTTCACTGCTGTCTTTGCAAAACTTGATGATTATATTCATAGTTTGGTATACCACTGCCTATCATGCTCATGAATGCCTTTTTCTTTTTTTTCCTTAACTTTGTACTCCTTTTTTGTTTCCTCCTATGTGTCCTGTATCTCCTGTCTGACAGCTAAAGTTTCTCTCTTGATCTCGTACTGCAGTTCTTCACATTCCTTGATAACCCTGTAGTTAATACAAATAAAGCACATTTCATTGGAAAAAATATTAACACTTGTAGTTATTTCATTTTTTTTTCATCTACTTTTCCCTGCTTTCAACTATCTTAAATTCAGAATCTGTTATATCAATTTATCTTTTCTGCATTTCCTCTGAAAGCTAAATTGGTATAATTTCTGATTTCAGATGCACTGATACAAAATTGGAATCAAGTCATAGTCAAGAAAAACAGCGGAATCTAAAGAAATAGGTTTTAAGTCTATCTGGTATGCGTTAAAAAGAAGAGATGCATGAATTTTCATTTAAAAACAAAACTTCATGAGTAGTACGTTGTTGAGGATTTTTAATTAAATGTGCTGATCCATTATATTTTAAGCTTCAGGAAATTGCTCTAAGTAGGTTTTAGGCATCTGGCATAATTACGGTCACTACGCCCGTGTTTCATACTTGGTTACAATTTGTTTCAGTCACTTTCTGACTATGAGTAACTTACATGCTTATGAGTTACTCTCAGTATAAATATACTTATTTTTGTTTACACAGATGGAAATCTTCATCATACTGACGTCTCTCTCTTTGGAGAGCCTACTGAGTTTGAATACTTGAGGAAAGTGCTCTTTGAATATATGATGGGTCGTGAGACAAAGGTATGGAAACTTGTATGCAGTGATGTGATGTGGGTTAGAATGAAGTTTAGCTTCCTTGCTGTATAGATCTGAAGTGCCATGATGTTGGTGGTTCATCTTGCATTGTCTGTTATTGTAAAAAGATTCAGTGGACTTTCAGGGCTTTTTTACAAAGAGATACTGAGATAAAACGCAGGGGAAGTGAAAGGAGAGAACACTGGGGAGGGGAAGGAAGTGTCACATCTCTCACCAAGGTACTTAAGAAACAAATACCTCTACAGGTAGGTGTTATTTTACCAGCAGAAGTCTTAGTGTCAGTCAGGCTTACTGGACTTTGAAAGCTGATATGCACTATATTAGCAAACTACTTTTGTGATGTTATCTTGGTGCAAATACAATTAAGTTACAGTTGTATTAAATATTACCTTGTTACTAGCTCTGAAGGTGAAGTTTTTTTTTTCAAATTGTTCCTTAAAGATCTTTTATAAGGCACCCAAATCTGTGTACCTTCACTAGTTTGTATTAACTTACTTTTAAAAGCAGAGTAAAGCTGCACAGTAGGCTCCTTGTTGTATGCTGACAAGCTTGTAAAATCATTCCTATGTTGGAATTTTACTAGCTTGTAACAATACTGATGCTAAGAAATTGACCAGCTTCAAAGGAGGTATGTCATAACACAAACATTTTTCTTGGATGATAAATGCTATGTGGATGAATATATATATATTTTTTCCTCCCCGGAGTTTTTCCATTCTTTGTTGTGCTGCTTTCAACTTGGACTACTATTAAGTAAAAAGGTTTTATGCAGGTTTCTTTGTTAGTTGGGTCTGTTCTCATTGTGTTCCATATGGAATAAAACTTGTTCTATACGGGACTTTTTGTCCTTTCAGGATTCTTCTTTCTTTTCATCCCTTTTCTTACTTTGCTATTTAACTTCCTTTCTATGTAAAACATAAATCCTGGATCAAAACAAACTAGAATCACTAGTTAGCTTCTGTTCCTCAGCCTGTGGCTCATTGGCTGGCTCTCTCTGGCTCTCTCACCTTAATAGCATTTGATTGAAATCATTAAAGAAAAATACATACATTGCTGGATAATTACAATAACTTTTGAATTGTGAAGGACTTAAACATGAGAAAATGCTAATATATATATATATATATATATATATATATATAAAAACACTAACAACAATAACAAACTTTGTCAGCCATGTTTCAGCTTCAGCCATCCCATGAGACTGTAATGGATGACTGGTGCATATTGTTGATGCAGGTAGCAAGAATTCTGTCATTCCTTCAGTTGCTTTGATTGAAAGATGTCTGTATTTGTGTGTGTATGTAATTGCTCTGGAGATTACACTCTGTAATTAGAAGATGCCATTACAACATTTCCTGCACACAGACTCCTAAAAGCAGATGAGTATGGGGGAAAAACTGTATCAGGAAAAATAGACATTGAGTTCCTGTAATAACTTGTGAAGGCATTGTTTTAAAACTGATAGAAGTGAAAGGGAAAGTAAATTTAATTCAAATAAAAAAGCATAATAAACAATTTTCAAAGCACTACAGCTGTTAGCTTTGGGAAATCAGATTTAGATAGGTAATGAATGATAAACTGAAATTGAACATGATTGTATTTCTCTCTATCATATTTTCGTACTAATCTGATCTGATAACATCATAGCAATTTTTATTTGAGGATGAATGTTCTAATATATTGCAAAAAAGGGAAGGTTTCTGGTATTGCTGTTATTAGCTGATCAAGGTTGTAGCTGTTCTGGTATTTGTTACTGAAAAACTAAAATGCAGTGAAGGATAACATTTATATATACATAACATTAATATATATATATATATATATATATGTATATATTTATATACATATTTGCTAATGTAAATCTGAAGGTATTTTGGTGGTTTCTTCAATTTTGCTTCAAATAGTACACCCAAGCTGATGTCATACTGTTGTTCAACCATTGGATATGTGACTGGAAGACACTGAGGTTAGCTTCTGCAGTCAGGGTTGTATCTCATACCTTAAGTTTACTTGACTATGTCTTGAAAATAGTTTGGTTTCTTCCTGCTACACTGATTGGAGACCCATAATAAATGGTGATGTGATTGTTATAATCCATTTAATACTGTGTTAATAGATTCAGAGTGTATATTAATATGCACTTCTTATTATCAACACGTTAATTGAGTTAAAAGAACTCTGTGATCAACCTCTTTGATACAGATGTACCCTCTTAGCTTCTGTTTTCACAGACCAGGTGCAGCAATTATTTCTTACAAGTTATGCAGTCAATTCCCCAGACCATCCTTTGAGCAGGGTCTCCTTTATCAAGTACAAAAACCACTTTGTGTCTCAGAAGTAGTTCTGCAGGGGAATAAGTCATCTTTGTGTGCCTGATGCGCTCTTTAGTGAAAGCATTTCTATAGAAGCTGTGCAAACTATCCTGAACAATTTACCATTTATGCAGCCTGGTAAACAGTTCTGGTATTGTATTAAGTGGAGGGATGAGTGAATGCATCAGTTGTGCAAAAGTGCTGGAAAGCTAAGAGAAATGATGAGGGTTGCTAGTGGTTCAGTAGCTAAGATTCAGGAATTACGACTGTAACGTTTAACCCATAGAATCTGCAGCTTGTCACAGTCTTTGTAAGCTGTTTCACTGATGTGCACATTTGTATTTGCTGGGGATTGTTTATTGTCTTCTCCTCCAGTCCTGTAATACTTTTTCCCTTTGTTTTTCCTTGGCACAATCTATAAAATGAAATCACCAACTTTTAAGCATATGCACCTTGATCAGAATATCTGAACTCAGAGATGCATGGCATACACAATCAGGTTCAATAAAACTGCATTTTCTACAAGCACGTGAACGACTGAACTTCCAGCTCTACTGCACACTTAATCTGAAGTTTTGCAAAAGTCCTGGAGGACCATTTTGGCAGATGCTTCTCCTTGTTACTTCACTGTGCCACTTGGAGTCTGTTCTGAAGTCAGAAAGTCAGTCTGAATGTTGTATGTGTTTGATAAATGTGTTTCCATCAGCTAGATAAAGGAGTGAATGAAATAGCACAGAATTACGTTCTGTCAGGCTTGCTTCAGGCTTTGCAGCTCTACAGCTCACATATCAGAGAGAATAAATCAATACAAATCTTCTTCTGGCGCCTGGCCGTGCTTTTGTGCATTGCAGAATGACAAAGGATATTTCTGTCAAACTCCTGCACGATTTTTGAAGGGTCTGGCTTTGACCTGCAGCTCTCAAAACGAAGGGGGCTGATGGATATCACTGTGAAAGCATTATTTACAGAGCTCACATAACTGACCTCAGAAAGAAATGCAAGCTGGCATCTCTTACAGTAGGGCTGGTTGTTACGTTTGTGAAAGCTGTGAGTCTGTCAGTGGGTGGGTACAGAGATGCACACCCAGGAAGGTCCATGTGTGTTCACAGTTATTGTTTTGCTATCCCTAGTGACACAGACTGTTAGTGAAGTAAGTTCTGGACTGTGAATAGTACTGAATTCTTCTGCTTTAGAATCTCTGTAGTAGCCCCAAGAACATGGAAAATTTCAAGTCACTGAGAGTGTTGAATTACAAAACACTTTTTTTCAGGAAAGAAGGTTTTAGCCTCTGTTTAAGTTGGCACATAAGAATCTGTGCCTTCATGCAGTATTTGCAGTGTTTGTAGATTTTTTGTTAACATTTGCACGCCGTCCTGTGGAAAATAGTCATACAGTTTGAAGAGATGCTAAGCTCAGTACTTTCTAATCTTTTAGTCCTAGATCATTGTGATCAGGGTTTTGGCAAACGAGGTGGTAAAAGCACAGGATCTGTTTGTGATGCTGGGAGTGCTCCTTATTGTATCTGGCAACTGCACTACAGGCTCTTCTTAATTATGCGAGCTACCAATATATTTAAATGAAACTTTTTTTTTTTAATCAAAAGGTTTCATTCGACAGGACTCGTTGAATGTGTTTATCCCTAATTAATTATAGACAGAAGCAGTATCTGCAAGTTAGAGGTTTACCTCTCACTTTTAGCTGTGATCATTTTTGTCCTGCAGCTGCTTTGTTGCTGCAGTCTCCCTCCTCATTCCACATGTGGTGAGGCTGGTAATAAGCAGTGGACTTCGAGAGCAGCAATCTTATCTCAGCCACATTCTTGAAGAGCAACAGCTACTGCTTCTGTAGCAATCACTGTTCTGTTTGAGCTGCCCTGCAGTTCTTACTTTGACCTTTCTTGTGAAAGTCACCAGAACCACGTTCTGTGCCTTTTGGAATTTTTTTATTCCCACTAATCTGTTTTTAAAAGGGAAATAATTGCTTGCTTTGCACGAAAGTTTGACATTCTAACATGTTCCATCTGAGGTTGTCTAAATGTTTTGCTAGTTAAACATGAGCTACTGTATACCTGCTGACAATATTTTGACAACTGCAGTTCTGCATCTCACATTTGGATCTTTCTCGGTGCTTCATTTCTTTGTCTTTCTTTACCAAATATTTGGGTGATGTGAGTATAGGTGAATTCATAAAGACTCTTTCAGATTCCACGTGCCTCAGATGAGCTTTTCAGAAAGGCTGCGTTAAGATTAAATGTGGCAGGAGCAGCATTTGCAACAGTTTGCTGCTGTTATTAATGGACTTGAATACTCTAGAGCTTACATCATAGTACAATAGCTGCAGTTTGTGACAGTGTGAAATGAACACTCTTCTTGGTTTCTATGTATTTCACATAATGTATCATGCCATGCAAATACAGCATGAAACTGGTGGTTATTTTTTAATTCCTTTCATTATGCTTTTTGGAGACATTACTAAAAATAACAGTCTTCTCAAGAGAAGCATATTTTAAAATGTTAAGAAGCATTTTAGGTCACATGATAATAATTAAAGATGATCTGTTTCTTTTCAGACGATGGCCAAGGTTATAACAACAGTGCTGAAGTTCCCAGCTGATCAGACTCAGAAGATACTAGAGCGAGAAGATGCACGACCATTGGTAAGTTGTACCAATAAGCTAAAGTTCATGCAAAAGATGATGTTGCAAGAATAAGAAATTGGACACTTTCTTTAGATCTCTCTTTCACACTTTCTTTCTCTATGTCTCCACCTCTTTCCCTCCAATGGAATGTTAAATTCTGCCAGTAGGTTATAGCAAAAATGAAAAAAAAAAAAAAAAAACAAACCCAAAACCAAGCACATTTTCTTAACTAGAATTTCTGTCTAAACCACATTTGTGAAAGCTACTATTCTGAGATTAATTTTCTTACCAAAAAAGTTAACTGAGAGAATATTTGTGTTACTTAAATTCAGAAATTTCTGCAGATTCATAGGTGTTTTATGGAAAAAATGGTAGAAGAGAGGCTTTTTCAGCCCTGGAGTAAAATATTTGATAAACACAAGAACAACATTTGCTTGTAGAATAGAAAACTCATTAGTTCACCCACCTGGGATTTGTGCTATAGAAGTGGAATATATACAGAATCACAGAATGGCCAGGGTTGGACGGGACCTCAAGGATCATGAATCTCCAACTTCCTGCCACATGCAGGGCCACCAACCTCCTCATTTAATGCTAGACCAGGCTGCCCAGGGCCCCATCCAATCTGGCCTTGAACACCTCCACAGACTGGGCATCCACAGCCTCTCTGGGCAGCTGTTCCAGCACCTCACCACTCTCTCTGCAAAGAACTTCCCCCTGACATCCAACCTAAATCTCTTCCCTCCTTCAACTTTGAAACCATTTCCCTACAAAACCATATACATGGAACTTTGTGTCAGTATCCTAACAAGAATTTATTTATTTATTTATTTATTTAGTACTAAAGAACCATCAAAATATGTCAGGTTGACTCTCAGGAAGGACAAATGAAAAATAAGAATTTCAGACAATTTCTGCAGTGCTGCCTTTTCACCAGTGGTGCTGAGTAATATAATAGCAAGATTTGATCTTGTACAGCTGTGGGGAAGGAAATAAAGTGATGGCAATCAATCTGCATAGATGCACGCATTAGAGAATAAAATTGGTGGGACATTCAATAGAGAATGATTCCTTTTAATTGTAAATAATTAAATATTGCTTAACTTTTTAAAAAAATATTATTACTTCATTGTTTTTATTTTTACCCCTAAATTTTTTGAGGGATAGAGTGGAACTGTACAGCTTCAATCCTTGTGGTTTTGGAATGTCTGTGATGAGAGGTTTTATTTGTTTTCTGTTTGTCTTTCCATTTTAAATAAACATATTAAATATTTCGTCTTTACTGAAGAGCTGAATTGGGGTTTCAGAAGCAGGGCCAAAAGAGATGAAGAATATATGACCACAAGCATTTATTTGGCATTACTCTTACTGTTTTATATAGTGGAGTTGCTTTTTATTAAGACAAAAACTGCAGTAATAGCTTTGTCTGTGTTGTATCTGAAGTCAGTATTGTGATCCTTCTCTTTGTGGATTAGCTGAGTACAATATTTAGGGACTTAAGTGAGGGAAAGAGCTGCATTCTCTTTTTCTCACTTGCCTTTTGGATATATTGAACACTTCCAGAAACAAAATCAAAGTTTGAATGTTTTCACCTGTAGTTGCACTTCTCATAATGCTACTACATCAGCAGAAAATCACAGAATCACAGGACATAAACGTCGTGTTGAACCCTTGAAGTGAATTTAATAAAAAGTTTCCATCGTTTCATCAGCTTGAAGTATCAGATGAGGAAAGTGTTTGATACTTCAACATTTTCTGTAGGCTTTGTCCTGTGAGCCTTGCAATCTTAAATACTTAATACAGTTTTAAAGTCATGTAAATGCTGATAAAAGTGTAACAGTAATGTCTTGTGCGTTGCAAGCATCCTATTTTTGTTCTCAAAAGGCTTTTATTTAAACCAATTTCTCATCTCTGCCATATTATTTGAAGTTATTCACTCTACTCTTGCTTCTGAAATAACATGACAAATTATAAATTATAAATAAATGAAGCAATAATTATGGCTTGCCTAAGACTCTTTCTCAGACCTTCAGTTAGAAAGCTGACTTTCTATTTGATTTATTTATTTGCACACTCTAGTAATATTCTAGGAGAGTCTGAGTTGGTCAAAAGTGAGGTTAGAGTTGGAGCTTGTCTTTCAGCTCCCTGTGCTTTTTGGTATTTGAAACTTGGTCTTCTCGAAAGAGGTGCTCACCAATTCTGATACAAAAGAAAACTTCAAGTTAATCCAACAAGTTTTGGTACTAACTAATAATTTGGGGCTAAATTATGGCTAGTCATACGAAGAACTTTTTTCCAGGCAGCAAGTGCTTTGATGGTTATGAATATCAGAATTCAAAGAAGTTGATGTCTTAATGAGAAACTTCTTCAATTTCACATAGCTGTGTTTCTTGGCTCAGATTTAGCCTGTCATTTTTTGTCCCTTCCAAGTACACAGAGATGAAAAAATAGACATCTAACAAAGTCAAATATAAGGACTTGCTGTGCATACAGCTAATGAAGGGCACAGTCATTTTTCTCTTCAGTTTCGAAGTTGCATTTGTTTACCAAACAACAAATTAATGTTTGTGGTGAATGTTTTGTAATTCTGTTCAAGACTGAAACAAGTGGGGGAGTCATAAATTATTCTGTTAAGAGATATGCTGTGGTTTGTTTGTTTGCTGATGTGTACTAACATGATTGTCGTGTTTCTTCACATAAAACCAGAATGATAGCAGTATTTCAAAGTATCCAGTATTTAGATCTCATGAGTAATAATGTTACAAACTTATAAATGTGCATTTTTAACATAAAGCTTAGTTGGCTTTGTATGTGAATTTACAGCCAAGAGGTTTAAAACTAATTTTAATGTGTAAATTGTCAATTTAATGTGCTACTGAAAAGGAATCAATGTGCTTGTTAGGAAGTGCCTGTGAGTACTTGTCCTTTTAGTCTGTCTGTCTCAAACAGTAGGAATATACTTGAGAGGTTTCTACTTAAACCTTTAACAGATCCCTCAACAGATAAGTGTACACCAGACCAATGTATCTCCTGCATTAATATGTTTTTTGCTACCTACTTATTGTGATCCAACTGTAGCAATCTCATCTGTAATCAGTAGATGTTCACAGCATTCTTACATATGCTTTACCATGTAGTCCAATAAGCTGTTTTCTTCCTGGCTTTGTAGTTTGCCTCACCTCGCAGTGGTATCTTCTGAATATTCCATCAGTCTGTGCTTAGTTAGCATGTGGGTGAGTGAAGCCTAATATGTACTTGTTTTGTTTGGAGATAAAACCTGTAGTATGATATTAATCATTCTTCTGCTTTTTTTTTTTTTTTTTCCCACCCCTCTCTTGGCTCCTTTTTGGTAATTAAAAGCATTTTAAGACTTTGTTTTGTAAGTGTGTGATAAACTTTGCTTTATTCTTATGTTACAAATCCAAGTCTGAGCATGGTAAATACTGATTCAAAAGCAATCTTTCTGAGATACAAGAATAACTTGAAATGTTGATTGAGGTGCAGAAATCTGAGTTCTAGGGGAAAAATCTTATTTAAAATCAAATGATATGTAATGTTAAATTTTATTGTGCTTGGCTAAATCTTAATCCATTTTCCAATCTCTTTGTAGTTTTTTGAATAAGCTATAAGTAAGCTTATAAATAGATAAGTCAGTTTTGAAAATGGTGATGCTGTCTGAAATGAATTCTGTACATCTTCTAAATATGATGATGTGTTATTTGAAAGAAACTTAATGAAATATCCTCTGTAGAGTGATTTGGAGTATGATGGCATTTAAATGTTAGTACCTTTCTGAATCAGAGCCTTGGCTTGGTGTCAAGAGAATGTAGGGCACTGAGATGAACACTTTGGGGACCTTTATGCTTTCAGTTTACTCTGGTTTTCCAGAGTTTTTCCAGGTTTTATTAAGTTGTTTTCATGAAGAAAGCGTGATGCTATTTGTAATGTTACAAGAAAGCAAAAGCTGGCTTAGATCTAAAGGCAAAGGTTGCATTTGACTAACCCAGCTAAACAAACAGTGTGAAGGAGTAGTGGCTGAGAGAGGAGCAGAACATGCAAATGCCCTAGCAATGCTTTTTGCATTGCCTAATGTTACCACTAGAGCATGATGTTTAATAAACTCTTCATGGTGAGTTCTGTAGGATGTGGTCAGCATAACTTTCCTTCATCCTTTGCAATGGAAGATCTTTTAAACCTTTCACTTTAAATACAATAGCAAGTACTTTATTGCACTCAAAATGCAATAGCTTCTTGACAAAATCAGCAGCTATTTTCTCTAGCCTTCTTTTAAAAATAATTGAATTGTTAGTAACGATAGGACAAAGCTCTTTACAACGTGATTGCAGAGAGCACATTTGAAACTTCAATTCTTGTGCTTTCTATAAGGCTGATGTTAAAGCTTTGTGCATTCTCAGCTGTCTTTGGTGGCTGTCACAGGAGGGCCTGATTTTTGGCTTTATAGTTAGCAAATGCCTGTACTGTGGGACAGTAGGCGTGGAAGCTTTGCAGCCCTCATTATTGGATTGTTGTTTTTTAGTTTATCTCAATATTTTTGTAACTTAGATTAACAGTTTGCCAGCAAAAGAATGATTTTCTAGTGTGCATGAAACTTAAAAATTCAGGTGATTATTGTGAAAGTAATGATCTTCTTGATAGCCCCCAAATTTGACTTCACTGCAGTTTGGATGACAGGCCTCAAACAGAGAGAACAACAATTGGCTTGAGTTTTTAAGTGGATTGATATGTGACAGTATGGTAGACTTCACTATTTCCAGTGATATTTCTGACTGTTCTGTTACAGGTCTTTTGATTTTATTTTATTTTTTAATCAACTTTCTCAACAGTTGTGATAATATCAGAATGGAATTACTTAATCAAAATTGCCTACTAATGTGGTCGTTTGATTTAATCTGAAATTCTTGTATCTCCTATTCCTATCAATTAATAATAATTTCATTTTTAATAGTAAGTGCTTCTGAGTTGCTCTTAATAAAATACTGTCCATTCATTTCTTTTCACTTTCTATTTCTCTAGTCATGGCTACGACCGTCCTGAAGAGATCACAGTGAGAATGTCTCATAACAGTGCTGCTTAGAAATACGTTCATATCTCTGTTTGTTGCCCCTTGAGAGGGGGCGAGAAGAAAAGCTATTATTCAAGGTCACAAATGGAACAGCAAGAACCAAAGCTCAGCACCACCTTTGGACCATGAATATAGTTAAAACTGCCTTGACAAGAGACGCTAATCAGGGGTTATCTGGGGATGAGTCTTTTTTCTCTTCTATTGAACACTCTCTTCTATTTTGTGTTAAAGGTTATTTTTTTAAAGGAGAGAAAAGACTAGCATAGGAAGGAATTGCCCATTACTGTATCTCTATACAGGTTTCACTGGGTGTTTTTTAAGAGTTGAACTAAATGGTTTGTCTCTTCTATTTATTTTTTTATTTTTGAATGAATTGTGCAATACATTTTTGGATGGATAGCAGTTGAGGTGATTTTTCCGGATGAACTGGGCACTCTTGTTTGACTACTCCTCTACCAATTTGATCTTCTGATTGTTTGCTAAAGGTCACTTCCTCTATGCTTTTGCCTACAATAAATCCGAATTGCAGTACCTCATTTGTTTACTTCTAGCTTTTGTACTTATATTTTCTGGAAAAAAAAAAAAAAAAGTACATTACTGTAAATTGTAAATAGTTAATACATAACTGTATCATAATGCTGATCTGTGATTGTTGACAGCACTAATCTGACAGGGGCTGAGATGAAATAAAGTTTATTTACTATATAATTTTGGAACTTCTTGTTGCTTGCTGCTTCTTTTGAAAGGCTCCACCAGTTTTGTTCTCATTCCTGTTCAGGACATCCATCCCTAAGATGTTTCCAGGCTGAAATTGCTCTCATGTCAAGAGCTGTAAGAAATCAATGGAACTACTCAAACTTTCCAGGGAATGCAACCTGTAAAACAGGTGCATACTGAGCTGGTGGTGTAGTATGTGCATCTATCTCAGTGCATCTATCTCAGTGTATATCTCAGCTGGGATAGAGTGTAGCAAGCAAGGAGGTTTGCTTTGTTAAGGTTTTAAATGGTTCAAGCTGATCAATCCTCTGCATTATTTTTGATAAGTGTCTGTAGGAACAACAAACCTCAGTAGTTCACCTCTGATCATAAGCAGGCCTTCTGAACATAATGCCTGCCTGAAAGATCACCGGATCACACAATTGCAGGGGTTGGAAGGAACCTCGAGAGATCATCAAATCCAACCCCCCTGCTTAAGCAGCTTCCCTGTCTGCTTTACAGGAGCAATGAGTTCAGTGCTGGTGCACCTGCCTGGAGCAGCCACCACCCTGTTCTGGGGATGCTCAGTCTGTTCCTTGCTTTTGATAGCTAAGGACCCAGAGCTGCATCTTCACATTCACTTGCTGACTGGCAAAAATCTCTTCCTTTTCATGCTGCTTTATTATTTGCAGTATTTGTTTTCCCCTTGTATTAAACATCAGTTGTCAGATTTTTTTTTTAATTTTTGTTTGTAATATTTTCAGCTATAGAAAGTTTTTGCTTCTGCAGTATATCTGATCCCTGTCTTCCAGTGTGTTGCCAGATGTCTCAGCAGCCTGTGCCAGACTTCACAGGGTACGTTTGGTTCTGAAAAATGCACGTTCCTTCCTGGTTGGCTGGGGATTTGTAGGATTTGGCTATCATTATCATTAGAGCAACCCCAAACATGGACTTTGTGTTTCAGTTTTCCATGTAAGGTATAGGTTTTCCTAGGTTTTGGGATATTAAATGTAGGGATCTGTTATTTTGACAGCGAGTTTCATTGTGATCACTTACTGTGCTTTTCTCTTTATACAAATAGGTTGTTCTTCACGTGTCCTGTCCTTGTTCTTTTCCTTCCACGTGAAAGTTACTGGCTGTGGGCAGCACTTTATCAAGCATGATCTAAGTGCAGCAGGCCAAAGTGAAACCTCATATTCATGTGAAGGACAGAGCAAATAAATGATGGGTTTTTTTTTTCCCCTGAAGTGACCTAATTAAAGAATGGGAGATGACAGAGTTATCCTTGATTGTGCTTTTTAATTAAAATCAGAGAAATGCTCCCCAAGTTCACTTTTTCAAAAACGTTATTTTCCCTTCTATAAATTACTCATAAGCAATCACATAACTATTTCTTAACGTAATGGAGAAGGTGTAACTGCAAGGTTTGGGGCAAACAAGTTCTAAGTGCTTCTTTATTTAAGGGAATATGTAAATAAGGCATTGCTTTAGAATCTAAATAGAGGAAATGAGAGTGAAGGCATGAAAATGAAAGCTTTACTTTGAGTGATGATTTATTGTTTCTTGGAGTATCATCACAGACCCTGATAGTAGAGCTAATGCAATTATAAACTAAGATATTCCAGGCCACAAATACCTCTGATTATAAAACATTCTTGCTTAGACACCCGTAGCTAAAAGCCAAAGACATACCAAAGTTTTGGCTGCCTTTTTACCAAAGGTTAGAGGATCCCAAGTTTGTTTAGAGTGGAATGTTAGAATGCTGTGCTGCGAGAGAATGTGTTTGGATTTTTTTATGTTGAACTTTCCTCTAGTTTTACATGCAGTCAGTGTACATTGCATGTGTAACTGTGCACCCACGTGCACGAGCATAGAAAACCAAAAGATCTATTTATAGATCTGTTTATATAGACTTAAAATGTTTCCCAAGCATCCTCAAGTGTTCGAAGGCTTAATCTCTTAATTCCAATGAAATATGTGTGGAACTTTTATTCCTGTATTATCTCAGTGCCTAAGCTGATGTTTATTGGCAGTGTACAGCTGTACGGTACTTGACTGAATGCTGAGGTGGGTTCATTTGGTAATTCAGACACCCTGCATCCAGTCTTACTGTCTGTCCACAGCTGTGCTACAAATAAAAAATAAATAGAATTCCTCTGTAGACCTTGCTAAATGGAGCAACTTATTTTTTTATTTGCTTTCTCATGAAATGATGACTTTCACAACATCATTGCTTTTTCATCACGGATAACAAGATGAGCAGTAAGTGGCAGCTTTTCCTTTGCTTCCTTACATCCCTACCCAGATACAGGAATCCTTGTGTTCCTTGCTGGTCCTCAAAAAGAATGTGAGCTTGGGACTTGAAATGGTGTTTGGTTGTGTTTATTCATAACACTGCATATTAGACATGCTAGAGCAGAAGTAAGCATCAAATTGGATGTTGTTCTATGCCTCTGATGTAGGAGTTGTCACCTTTAATTTTCCCTTTTCTTGCAGGCTGTCGTTTACATTGATTGTAGCCTTCCCCTGTAAGCATTGATGCAGCTTTCTTTGTTAGAGTAATTTTAAAGGCATGTTGGCTCAAACTTAGGAAGGACATCTCTAGAGATTTCCTTTATTGTAAAACAATGACAGCTGTTTTCTTCCTGACCACGTAACACCATGTGATGTTTTAGAGAAGCCATCATTAAGCCCGTGGTAATGACACGTTGTCTTATGGCTGTGCTGGAAGATCTCTGCACAGTGATGGGGGAGTTACAAACGTGGCTCATGCATCTGCTGTGTCAGACGACCTGCTTTTCTTGGTTGCAGCTTCTAGATCAGCCCAGGTCACAACATCACCTCTTAGTTGTTGGACAAATGAGTGCGGTAGTTACTTGGCCTCTAATGAAGCATGTCAGATTAACTAAAGCTGCTCTGATTTTGTTGCAAGCTTTTCCAAATGGAGACCCAATGTGGACCCTGGGGTGGACCAGGTTTGGGGTCTGGAGGCCACCCTTGGGGTTGATGCTGAAGCTTGAATCTGGAGCACTTTCTGTAAGAATTTAACTTCGCTGATAGGAATGAACAGCAGGTATGTATGCTGTAATCTTTGTCGCTGTTAGTATTTTGGAAACTTTATTGGTCCAAGAAAATATTTAGCCTTGTTATTGAGATCAATGATTCCTACTTGTTACAGTGCTGAAGTCCGCAAGAAAAATTGCTGCTGTGGTTAGTGACATTATGCATCATCCAGTTTTATTGGAGTAAGGGAAGCACTTAAAAGCTTTGTAACTTGGATCAAACCATGTATCTGTTGCAAGAGTCAATCAAACAAAAGCAGTATGTGAAGACTTACAAGAGGCCTCTCTGTGCAGCCAACATTTCCTATGCTCTGTGTTTCCCAAAAAAGATAACAACAACAAAAAACATAGCCAATCCAAAATTCTTCTGTGCATGTTGTTGCAATGATATCTGAGGTTTACAATTTCTGGAGTAGCGTGCTTTAAAAATAATAAATATTTCCTCTCCTTCTAGCCTAGGCCAGGACCAGAGTTATATGGCAGTGATAACAGTGGTACAATCAGTAGCAAAAATAAAAGAGGAAGGGTGATCAGAAAGATTTGGGTCTTCATTTAGGTAATGAAAATAATAATTAGGTTGGGTTATTTTCAGAAAATGAATGTTTTGCCTTCCAATGCTGAACTCTACCTTCAGCTTCCCTGAGAGGTGTTACTAAATAGAAAGCAACTGTCCTCACCTTGCAGCCCTGCAGCCAGGGCAGGTGTTATCTGAAAGTTAATTAAAGAACAGCAAGCTTCAGCCCAGGATTTCAGTGCTGTTCAGCAGCAAATTAACATCTGATCCAAACATGAATTCAATATTGGAGGTAAGTAAGTTTTCTTTTTTTTTTCCCCACACAAAGCCTGCTGCAGACATCACTTCTGGACTGGGCCTGCAGGCTCCTGTGCCAGTAGAAATTGTGTCCCACAGGGGTCAGTGCTGGGCTGATACTCTTCATTGTTTACTTTGACAATGGGGTTGAGTGCACCCTCATCAAGTTTGCTGATGATAAGCAATGGGGTGCAGTCAACACACCAGACAGATGAGATGCCATCCAGAGGCACCAAGACAGGCTTGAGAAGTGGGCCCAGGTAAACCTCATGAGGTTCAACAAATCCAAGTGCAAGGTGTTGCACCTGGGTCGAGGCGATCCTCACTACCAATACAAACTGGGGGATGAAAGGACTGAGCTCAGCCCTGCCAAAGACCTGGGGGTACTGGTGGATGGCAGGCTGGACATGAGCCAGCACTGTGCCCCCACAGCCCAGGAAGCCAACAATATTGATGCTGTGTATGTTGGTAGATTAACCTGACCTGCCAATGAGTCAGCAGGTATCAAGCAGCACTGGGCACATAGGAAATAGTTTTCCCCAGTATGTGCACCTTGGCTCATGTGCAGACTGCATTTATTGATTGTACTCATACATACTCATGTTTTCCCCTGGAATTTCATGCATATGCTAAATATTATCTTTGAAGTCATTATTATTTTCTTAGAAATGATTAACATAAGGCCCTTCTCCTTAGAGCATGCACACTCACCCTTGGGGGTCATTTTGGTGGTCATCTGAGGCTCGAGGGAGGAAGGATGATAGTCTTTGTCACTCCTCAACTTTTGACCCCTGCTGTCAGAAGTATGCTCAGTTAGGTGTGTTTGCCTCCTCTGTAAATGTGTTTCCTCTGGTATGTTCTATAGGGCCACCTATCTTCCGTTAGACTTTGTTTTATTTCCCTATCTTTAAGGTAGTACACATGGTTCCTCCAGATACCGATTCTTGCAGTATTAGAGGTCCTCACTCCATAAGTATCCATCAGTAAAAGTGTGGCCAGAAGGTCAAGGGATGTGATCCTACCCCTTTACTTTGTGCAGATGAAGCTTCACCTGAAGTACTGCATCCAGATGTGGAGTCCTCAGTACAAGAGTCATGGACTTGTTAGAGTGTGCCCAGAGGAGGGCCAGAGAAACAATCCAAGGGCAGAACACCTCTCCTGTGAGAACAGGCTGAGAGAGCTGGG